GAATAGTCGTTGTGTTTTCCAAGCTTTTGATAGCATTTTTTAATACAACCGTTGAATGTCAATGAATCGAAAAATAAAAGTTTTGAATTTATGGGACGGAGAAGCGTTTTGTGCATTTTCACTTTGACGTAGGCCATGATGACATTTCATGCCAGATTGACTTATTCCTTAAACTTGAGCACCCTTCGTATTTCTTAGACCTCATGGGTAGACTTTATGAGTATAGCGGCCGTCTTATAGGGCATCATTTGTTATTTTAATTCAGTAACAATGAGTGCTTAAAAGGTTTATTTCTGGTATGTCACAGCAAGACAAATGTATTGCCTTGATGACTGCTACCTATATAAAAAAGGTCCATATACGCCTTTTTTGAAATATTGTGGGCAAGAGAGAGCGCCTTTTTTTCAGTGGGTGACCTCTCTTGTTTATTCACCCCGCAAATGTATTATATTATGTTATTCAGTTTTTAAAAACTATTTCATTGAAAATAAAACATGACAGAAAATAATTCTGGTATGCGCGCGCGTCGCCGTTGCCATGCGCGTCGGCAAAATGAAAAAGTTTTTTTTCAATGAAAGATGATGTCTCAAAACCGCCAAACTCACTGGTTTGACTGGAATCCTGCTGCTGCACAATTTTAACGTGTTTTTAGATTGGGTTATGGTCGAGAATAAGCTTTATGTGGCCTCTCTGGACTCCCATATATTTGCACTAAGTTTAGTCGGGCACCATTTGCAGTCATCAGCCGACATTTGAAGCAAAAAAATCAGGTAAAAAAAAAAAAAAAAAAACGGCGTCGCCGCACCACTTTTTGGGCAAGCTCCATACCAGAAACCGGAGACTTTTTTGGCCTAAGCAGGGTTGTATATCACTGTTATAGAAGGGAAAAAAGTCCTTGTTTGACTTAACAGGAGGTTTGAGTTATCAACAGTTTGACATTTTGAGATTTCACTGTAGTTTATTTTGTCCTGACAACAATGTTGACCTCGTTTTTTTACACACAAACTGCAATAGCCTTTTTAACTTCAAATTTATTTATCTTCACTTCATTTATAAAAATGATATTATTAAATGTGGTACTTGGTCATTGGAAATATTGTTTGAAAATGACAAAGTTCAATATTAAGAGTAAAACCAAACCTCCTGTTAAGTCAAACAAAGACTAATTATTCCCTTCAGTTGTATAACAGTGATGTACAACCCTGCTTGACTCAAAACTCAGCTTAGCTCAAATTTTGAGCCCATTCTCTCAAAGTTTGACTTATCGAGATTTCACTGTATATCAAAACATAAATGTCTCATAAAATTGATTATTTGTCCATTTGTACATGTATGTGTACAATATGCCAGATATGTTAAAAACGGCTGCCATTTTAATGGCCAATGGGGGGGAGAGTGGGGTGGAGCAGATTGTCACTTGTTGAGGTGTCCAGAGGTGTTTGTGAGAGTTTGAAAGAATGTGCAATAATCCATATGGGCTCGCATAAACTTCCTTTTGGAATACACGTATGCCCCCTTTTTATGAAAAAAAGTGTGACACGCCCCCCAAATGGGAGCCAAAGAATTTATGAGTTGACATGTCAACTTTTTTTCCTTGCCAAATTATAATGGATTGAAACAAAAACAAAAACAAAAACAAAAAACCTCAAGATTGCATTTTACAGGTCGATTTTCTGTTAGCGACATGTGACCCCCACTTTTTAAAATGTTGCCCTACCCCCAAAAGAGGCAAAATGTGGATTTTTTTTCCTTGTGATGTAGCACTTGGGTGAACTGTCCAAATGCGAAAAAGAAAAGTAACATTTTTAAAAATATTTTTTGCGCGCGATGCCCCCCACTTTTTAAAATCATGGCCACGGCCACAAAAGGCTCAGAAAAAAGAATGGCATCAAGTGGTTTGGAACTTCTTGAGGTATCCTCTAGTGATCCTGAGAGTTTCAAAGAGTGTACCCGAAATTGCATATGGGCCACCACAAGCCCACTGACTGAAAACCAATTGAAATGACATAAACAGAGACTGTTTACAGGTCTCGACAAGGCTTGTATGATACATGTGTGGCTTTAACATGAATAATGTTTATTAATTATTCGTAAGGTACCGTGGCACAGTCCAAAACTGCCTTAGTAAAACTTGAAGCCTGAACCGGTTTATTGTAAAATTGTGCAAATGTTGAACAATTTGTCCAGCCTGCGGTCTTCAGGATGATTTCTACCGGTACTCCCTGTCTATAGGCGGCACTGCCTATGCCGCTGATCTTGTGCTATGAGCTGAGAAGGTGTTGGTGTCTTCACCTGCATTCCCAAGCGTGGATTTTATCCACCTGGAGATTGTTCGTCCGCCAACTTCTTTGTGTGGCATTACATATTACTCAAAACAGCTTTATTTTGGTATCCCGTATGGCATGTGTTCTGCGTAGATACTCTTTCAGTAAATTTATTTATTTATTTATTTCCAACAAAGCCTCCATAATAGGAGAAGATAAAAATTACAATAAGTACATATAATTATATACATAACACCGTGTTCACAAACAGGATAACCCCGACACTCAAGGCCGACCCCCAGATAATCCAGACAACGTCAGAAATTAAAAACCTGAGCAGTCCACCAAGAGTGCCAAGATCATCATAATCAAGGGATTGGTTACGATATAAAACTGTCTTGACACTATCACAAACACCATGGTTGATACAGTCTACATTCTTAATGGTAGAAATGTATTTCTGTCTGAATGATGGACTAACAATGCAATTTAGTAGTGAGAAATCATCATGCATGCTAAAACTGTTTTTTACTCTGTCAACTAAAGTGTTCTTGTATGCAAAACTATCATGGGCTTCACAATTATTCTTAAGGTACCGTGGCACAGTCCAAAACTGCCTTAGTAAAGCTGTGTTTGTCCACAAACATAAGTCTAGTCTGGATTTGATTTTATTCTAATGTTATTGGTCATTCAATTAATTCATCTGTCTCACCCCATGAAATTAGGATTAATTAGAGAGCATTTTATTTCATCAAATCTTGATTATTGGCCATGCGTGTACATACCGTGTTCTCAAAGGTAATTTGTATTTATTCATTTCTTCGCTTACTATTATGCAATAATATTTAGTTTTCTTTTATTTGTTTGGTTTCTTAAAGCTAATCGGTTTACGGATTACGGTAACTATGGTTTATGGTTTACGGCAGTTTACAGTCTGCGGTTTGCAATTTGAAGTTACGCTGTTTTCCGGTTAAGCCAGTTGTGATGTTGTTGATAAACAACATCACAATATAACTGTATTAGCAATTCGGCAATTAAATTTGTGTCTTTTGAGTTGTTGGTTTGGGCCACTATAGTGTGATGATAAAAAAGTAATTAAAAAATTTGACTAATAATCTATGTAAAAGTTATGAACTTGAGAAATATCAAAGTAGTTCCATCTTAGAAGGTTATTCATTAGCCTTTCGTTGATATTCGTATTGTGTATATCTCTTAGCAATCACGGATGGCAGATCGAGCTCCATTGATTTCAAACCTCTTTTCTCACGTTTGCTGAATATAAAAGGTGAGTTCTGCTGTCCGAAGAATGCGCTGTCGCTGTAGTAAACAGTGCGTTAAACGGAAGGGGTATGTTGGAGATGTTGACACTTAACATGGTACGTCATGTATGTGTTCCATAAATAATAATTAATCATTCCAAAGATTTAGTTTTTTTATCACAAACTAGCAATCTAAAATTTTTCAAACATCGCTATAGCCAAAATCGTGCCAAGTTGTGCCGACGCCCAAGCTATGTTTCGAGTGCATTTGTGAATAAGGTATATATAGTTATTGATTTAATGAGTAAACTAACAAAAAGTTGAAATTATTGAAACATGATATATTTCTCTCCATTCAACACATAATCCACTGCGACTGCGCACGTTTTTGGACAGCTCAATTCACCACTGAATCAAGGCAAACTTGAGAAAAAAAAATTGGTGTTGGCCTTGTGATGATAAACAAAAATCTACGGAATGACCAATTATTCATGAACAACATGAACGGCTGAATTGACCACTTAAATTCAGCAAACTTTGTTTTGAAATCAATGGTGCTCGCTCATCCGTGACTGAACAGATGCAAATAAGGTATCAGTGAAAAGGTAATGAACTATACTCTAAAGATGGAGCTGGTTCACTTTGACATGTGCGTTCTTTCAGCAAAACGAAAACAATTCACACGCAGGTGATTTGTTTTCGTTTTGCTGAAAGAACACTTACCTTTTTGGACATAACTTTAAACGGTGGTTGTGTTTAAAATTCCGTAACTTGAAAATTACATAAGTGATTTGAATGAATCTTGTACCAAAAGAAAGCTTATGAACTGGGCTTTCATATCCTAGATTTTAAAAGTGCTATATACAGAACTTCACTAAAACAATGGTCCTGACATTTGGGTTTCGGGTTTTTGTTTTACTCACCCTGCATAACCGTGTTCACTATTCTCAATATACAGGGTGGTTCAAGAAAAAGAACACCCATTTTTGACAGCAATTCTCACCTACTTAATGCACTTATTAAAAAAAAAAATCACATAAGTATAGGCCTTGACAGCAACTTTCACCTGTACTTGTTCAGCATATTTCAAAAATGTAATTGAATGGTTTATTAGAATATTGATCTTTAAACATAAGTGACGAAAAAAAAATGATTGCAAAAGCATCTTTTGTCTCTGAGATATGGTAGTTTAAAATTTTCATGTGCCAAACCTGTTTGTCCACGGACGGCTCCGCTTGACTGAGCTCCGGAGCTTGATTCGAAGACAAAAACACCACATGAGTCCAATACACGTGTACAACCGTGATTTTGGGACTTGTATAAATTAGCATAATAACACCTTTTCTTCCGATTTTCTAAAGACATTTTTACCACGCATGGTTGAAGAGCTATACTCTACTACATTATTTTTTAAAAATTCAAATAAGTTAAGTAAGTAGGTTAAAATTCCTGTCAAGAGTGTTTTTTTTTATCTTCTTTTGCACTACATGTACAGTACGCAGTCATCAATGATGAGGATTGCGTACGTACGTGCAAGAACTGAGGAAAAACACGAGGGAACCAAACAGTTTTGTTACTAAAGTCGCCAAGGCCGACTGGACTTTGCCTATCCGCGGTGACCCGTTTGCCTCGTTTAGACATTATATTTTGCCCCATTATTTTGGTCTAGGGTCAGGCGGTTAGTTGCCTATTTTATAGTCGAATAGCGTACAGTGACAGTAGCCTATAGGTAAACAAAAATAGACAAGAACGCACGAATTCTAGACATTCGTGATCTTCCGGCGAATCATGTTGACTTTTGTGAAACAATATATATTTTGAAAAATGGAGCACAAAACTTAGCCCGAGTGACTCTTCTTGCGCTAATAGTCTCCTCTTTCACGACTCTATGTAAAGGGGACAGTACATAGCATGCGTCGTTATAAGAGAAGACTATTAGCGTGCCGACATGGGCAGTCGGGCTAAGTTTTGTGCTCCAGTTTTCAATTTTGTGTACAATTTTGTGTTTCCGATGCCAAATGAATCGAATAGGGCCTCGGTGCGTTTAGATCCGTAGAACGGTACGTGTTCGCGGGATCGATGGTGTGATGGGTGGCCATCAAGTTTGGTGCGCCGTCCTCTGCATGCACCTCAATTGTCTGTTGTGGTGCGGTCTGGACAAGGCTCTGGGGGTCATGTTACCGAGTCTGACGGAGCAGTTCGCTACGAAGATGTGGGTGATTGGATGGATTGTATTCATCCGTAGTGGCTTCATACATCTCATCGGTAAGAATCTTATGATCTCGGGTCGAATCCGAATCAGTTTGAAATATCACCGCTGCTTTGTCCGGGAATGTCGCCTCTTAACGTCAGTATTAGCATCCTCTAATTGCTGATGCCCAGAGGGCTCGTCCTCTTTGCACATGCTGTGCTGATCGACCGACTGACCGACCGACCGGCATTTGGTTATTAGACTATTCCCCCCCCCCTAAACATATGGAGACCGGTAGCTAGCTCCCAGTTAAAGTTATTTTCGTTTGGGACTATTGAACTTCGGACTGATCAACCTTATTCTAAATTCGGACTACGGAACCTTCGAATAAATGAACTTTCGGACTAATGAATCTTCGGATTAATGAACCTATTGCATCAAATGTTCGGATTAACGAACCTTATTTCAATTTCGGACTAACGAACCTCCTCTTATGGAAATTTCGTGCATTCGGACTATCGAACCTTCGGACTAAAGAACCTTCGGACTATCGGACATCCGGACTATCCAGCGGCCCCCCGATTGGATCACCTCTGCGCGCGCGCAGCATGATTGTTTATTTTTGAATCAATGCCAGTTTTGTGCATGGACGGTAGTTGAACTCACAGTTATAAAAAAAAACCTGACTCTTGTCTTACCACAAAAAGTATGCAAATCGTCATTGTCTCCATGAATGCAACTTTCAAGCATTTCAACCGCAACAGTTTTAGTTACTGAGCAGTAATGCTGCTCTCTTTAATGATAGTTGCCACAGACACTTTCAGCAAAAATTGAAGCTCATCACCTCCGTCCAAAATTGCACAATTTCGTGGCCTGATGTCATTTTGGAAAAAAAAACTGGTTGCACGCAAACATTACCGTCGTGATTTTGAATTCAGGAGGTGGGGTTCAGTCCTAGCACGTCATGCATATAATTTGCAAACATTATTTATGAATCACTACTAGCTACCTGTCCCCATATTTGAAGTCCGAAGGACAACGGGGACAGGAAACGAGACTACTTGGTTGTAAGCTCATGAAGAGAGCCGAGCAGTCCTATCGTATAGGCTTTTTCTCGGTTGTCCTTTTTTGCAGGACCCGTTGCTGGGCCACTCGGTGTCAAGTTCGGTTCCCGCAACCTGATTACGGTCGGCGGTTTCACAGTTGGATTGTCCATAATCGCGGCTTCGTTTTCTACCAGTGTCACCCCTTTTGCGATCATATTGATTCTCGGAGGTAAAGTTTGTTACATTCTTCCAGATTATCAATTAGCCAAAGTAATTATTTCATGTCACAAAGGAGTTTTATGACGAAAAGGAATCAATACGATCTCACAAATTGTTTCCCTTTCTTTTTGCAGCTTTTGGCGTAAGTTTTACCGATATTCTCACCAGGTCAATCATCGGCCGTTCCTGTTCCAAGAACTATGCCCTTGCTATTGGCATCGGTTCATCGGGCTATGCATTGGGAACGTTCGCCTTTGCACCTTTCACCCAATTGTTACTGGATACGTACGGCCTGAGGGGTGCCTTGCTTATTCTAGGAGGGCTGAGCATGCATCTGGGGGTGTGTGGCGCCCTCTTGCGATCACCACAAATAGATGGAAGGACAAACTACCAGCCACTGTCAAGCAAAGATGAGGATCCAGGCTCCTCGAATGAAGACGATCCGGCTGATGGGAACTCGCGCCCTGGTGCTGAAAAAGACGCAATCGGGTGTTTCGGATTGGCGGTTTGCTCTCGGTCGTCATTTTGGATCGCCACCTCTCTGTACCTCTGTAACCGCCTCGTGGCCGATCTCTGGCTGATATATTTCGTGGCCCACGCGGAATCTAAAGGTTTCTCCGCAAGGGACGCCGTGACTTTCACCGCTGTGGCAGGCCTAGCGAGCGTGGTCTTCAAGCTCATCACCGGTCTCATCGTCGACCGAGGTTGGTTCAAACTGCGCCCGGCTTTGATACTGCTGACCATAGTCAATACTGTGACATTCGCCGACGCGCCCTGGGTGAGCTCTTATTGGTTGATGATGGTCAACAGCGCCCTCTGTTTCGGAACCAACGGCGGGATTTGCCCGCTAATGGACCTGTTAACACGAGATGTCCTTGGTGTTGAGCTTCTGCTCTCAGCTATCAGCTGGATGGAGATGATGACGGCAATTTCATTTTTCAGTTTGGGATTCTACCCTGGTAAGATTCATTTTGAATGTTCACTAGTCTTGCAGATACGGGCGGGCCAGATTGTACTATGGTGGAGACAATATACAATGTATATGCAAACCAGTGTTGTAGTACTCGTACTAGGTACTCGTACTCGAGTACTACTTGAGTACCCTTTTTTCATTTTTAGAGTACATGTACTCGTACACGTACTCGAATGTCAAAGCATCGTACTGGAAATGACGGTACTTGTACTTGGGGCAGCAAAGTACTCGTACCCGACATGTCGAAATTGTACTCGATCATCAAAGTACTCGGCTCGAATAGCTGTACTGGAAAAAAAAATTGGTATAGGCCTATAGCTTGACTTAAAGGGAATATACAACATTTGCAAACATCGGAAAACAAAACTACCAAATTTTTACGAAATAGCTTACTGGGATGTTGGTAAATGAAAGTCTAAAGCATCCTGTAAAATTATGGCACCTGGTGTGAAGTCATTTTAAAGAAAAGTGGTATTTTGTATAAATTTCCAACGGTGGTCGGCCGACTACCGTTGGAAAAACCTAACTATTTTTCAACTACTGCTCCAAATTTACCATTTTTTTCAGTCCAAATTTTATTTGCTATGTATTACATTTTAATGAACGGGTGCAGGCCAGCTAGACTGGTTTTCTTACCTTACAATTTTCCGGCATCCATAAATTGATTCATTTCATTTTTAGTGGAGTCAGGGAACCAGACTACTTGAAAATTTTAGTTTTTCTTGGTTTTTCCAGCATTTTCGAACACAAAACTTCAAACTTGGCAGTGTAACAATATTTGATCTATTATACTAACCCCACAAATAGTTCATTTCTGAAAATTAAAGCAAAATCCAATAATGTACATTCCCTTTAAGATTCGCTCGTATCCACCGCCATACGCTGATGAGCTTCACATAATCTTGTGAAGGAAGTGGCCTATGACCTATGTATAAAGTATCAGGCTGCAGCTGTTTAAGACCGCAGTTAGCAAATGCGCACATTCCATACCGAATTCGAAACGGAGCCTGAGCAAGTGACGACGAGAATTGAAAATTTACAAAACAGATGGTTTTACATGCAGACGTTCCAACATTATTATGCTTTTTATTGGGGGAGGGGGGGGGGGGGGGGGTGGCTGGTACCATCTGTCGATGGGGGCGCTGTTCAAAACCCACGATTATGCACACTAACGGACAATATAAGGTGCTTTTAACGCCGATACACTGCGCGAAATCACCCGCAACGGCTGATGGCACCAAAAAGGCTACCACTTACTTTTACAAAGGGCACTTGTTTAAAAAGGGTACTTGGTAACAAAAAAGGGCACTTTTTCAAAAATATTGGGGGGCCGTACGCGCTGGTGAAAAAAAGGGCATTTAGATAGAAAAGGGCAGTCTTTACAAAAAAAACTCGACTCGAGTCACATAGGCTAAAGACTCGGACTCGGACTCGACCAACATGACCCGGACATGACGTTAATGACTCTTAACTCGTGAGTCACATGTGTTTTTTTTACCCCCGAAATATACCTCTTCAGCAAAACCTCTTTACAAACATAATTCCGAAGGTAAAGCTATAAAAAACATTAACACACGAAAGTGGTGCTGCAAATAATGATGTTTATTAATGCGCCCCTCCATATTTACCACTTCAACGCATCACCAATATACCTATCGCTCACATTATGCATGTCCATGCCCATGCGACGGCGATTCCCGGGAGGGGGTGGGGGTCTAACGAGGCCATGGTAAAGTCACAAAAAAAGGCAGCCATTGCGTACACCACCCACCAAACTAAACAAAAGCAATACATTTGAACCCTTCCCCTTGCTTTTCATATTAAATTTGGGGAGGAAAGTTTTTTGACCCACTTTTTTGGAAACAAAAAAGTTAGTCGCCCCCCCCCCCCCCCCAAATGTGTTCTGGATCCAGCTTTGTGCCCATACCCACTCGTGCACATCCATTTCGTACAAAACGGTGACTCGTATACTCGGGGGCATGAATCAAAATTGGCTCATGACACGGAGTCGACCGAAGTTGTTCGACTACACCACTGCCCAGGTGTAAACTTAAACATATCCATTGATGCGCATTTTGAAGAGTTCCTCTTTCTTTGTTTCCTTTCCAGGCAAGATATACGAACAGACCGGAAGCTACGACTGGGCCTTCGTCAGTATGGGATTGATCTCAATCTTGTCGCTGGTGGCGCTGTTTGCTGAGTGGCTAGAAGGCCAAGCGGGATCAAGATCGCGGAGAGCACTGAAGGATTCTGGAGTTTAGAAAATCCAGTATAATGTCACGCTGTACTGGGGCACATTTAATAAATTTGTGCTCAACCTACTTTTTTAAGTGCATTTATAAATGGGATCTCGTTTACTAATATTGAATGATGAAAAGAGAGCGGGGTAAGGCTCCATGGGTATGGTATACCATATATGCACATCGGAAACGGCTTTAGATTTTGTTAGCACGGTAGCGTAAAATTTGGACTTCTAATAGGCACGTCACAATTAACAGAACTACAGTGAAAAGTCCCTTCTTAATTTGAGAGTCCAAAATGATCCAAAAGAGATCAGATTTAGTCGAATGTATACAATTATTGTTCTAACTTTCGATAAAGGCCTTACACGATGAAGCCCCTGCCTACATATGGGTCATTCCGTAAATTTGGGGTCCAAAAGTGTGCCGTTATGTCCCTGTTACACCTGACCTGTGTAATTTGCCATGCAAATATCATGGACATTTACTTCACACTATTTCTTAAATTTGTTTGGCAGGGTACTTTGCTTTACATAATCACTCTTGGAGATAGAAGACATTAATGGAATGTTTACTGAATTACAAAATCTTACACATGCATGATGTAACAGCGGAAAAGATTAACACAAAAAATTGAACCCCAACTTTATGGAATGATGAACCTGATCTGATGGACATTTTACATGTCATCTCACCTATACTGCAGTCACAAAATTGTGTCTCCCTACTACTACTGCCTCTTAAACAACATAATGATACAGGGTATTCGGTAGAATAACAGCTATACCCTTTCATATATGGAATTCACTAACCTATATACATGTATTAAATAAATTAACAAAATTAACAGTTTCCGCAGGGTCCTTGAAACTATTGTGTTAAGAATGAATTGTTTTAGATGATTAACACTATTGACAGCTGTGATTAGACTTTTTGCAATGTTTATAAAGTGGGTGTATTTAGCTGATTATTGTATTAGGCTTCTTTTTTAGTGTCTGTGTTTTTTTTTTAAAAGGTTTGTATCTTGTGTAGTTATGTACAGGCTAGGGGCCTTCTTAGTATCTTTTTTTCATAATTTCATTGTAATCCTTTTTGGTTTTCATTATCCTTTATTTGAATTTGTATCCTCACTGTATGTAGCGCCTCAGAGCACTGTATTAATGATCAAGGCGTGTTATACATTTTGCAACACAGGAGTCCAAATTTCAATGGACAGCGGGTTAGATTGAGTCTGAACACCTCTAACTTTTCCGGGAGAAATTCGACACGCGTGACACGTGGTCAAGTGAAACAAATCCGCTAGATGATTAATACTCCAGGTTCTCTGCATCCAGTTTGGGTCAAAGATGAGTTTCTTGGCTTTTAAAGAAAATGAAATTAATAAAGTGTACTAACAGAGTAAATAAAAGCTGTAGGCCATTTTAAAGTGGCATACAAGAGCACGTATAGTGGTCCGTTTGTTTGGAAGGTGATGCTTTGTTCGTTAATCAAGTTGATTGACATACATGTACATACATTGTAATCATTAAATAAATTCCGACGGACGTTTTGGGGAAATATTCAGACCATTCATTTTCTTGGTTTCATTTCCACCAGAACCGCTCTACCCGTGACTGACCTTTCAGGCTAGAGATCGAATATATTTTCGTTGTCTCCAAAATTGGCAACTTTAATGTTACAAATTTTTATGGTTTATTTTACAAATACAAATTGAAAACTTGGTGGCCAAAGAGCCCATAAGAGTCTCAAAGTACAAAATGCATGTAGGCCTACAAGTACATTGTACAATAAAAAAAAAACAATAAAAACAAAATGAAAATTTTCAATCACTTTTTTTTATTATCAAACTCTCGGTGGCTTTAAAAAAAGAGTGAAAAGATTGTGATAAGTCAACACATTATTCATATGAGCACACTCAGTACGGAAATTTTTTTCATTTGTTTAAAAAACCCCAAAATCTACCGAAACTGGTAATAATGAGGCTGTGGCTATTTCAAGCCCTCTTAGGCATCGAGAGATGTATCTTTAATATGGACAATTGATGCGATCAGACAAATGCTAGCAATACTCGCAGATAATCTGCAAAGAGCAAGTTTTGTTAGGTGCCCTGCATCATGGTGTAAACCTTAAGAAAGCTTTGCAGCTACTTGCAAACCAGTGGGATTGTGCGAGGATAATCACAAGACTTTCCCGGCCATATAATTATGCGAGCTTTATAAGTAACGTCCTTTGAGTGTAGGACTTGTGGTGTTTGCCCTGATTTTGCTCAGCTGTAACTGCATGAGTGAAGAACAAAAGGAAAGACCAGCAGCTAGACTAGTCAGTGTTTGGTACTAAGCCTTCACCGACAAGGTGAACATTCTAATCTTATAGGTTGCGTCCGAATTACCTGGCTACATTGTGTACGTCCGGTGTAGCGTGAATATCCGACTCCATGAAATGTGGACTCATTGGTAGTACTGCGCACGCGTGAGTACGATACTATGCTATTTTTAGGATCGTTTCGGGAGAGTGACCTGTCACGTGCGAGGGATCAACCAATAATAGGGAAATAGAGGTCCGATTTTCATAGGAGTCGGATTTTCATGTGACACCGGCAGCACCACACCAACCTCGTTTCCATGGGTACGATCTTGCTGCGCCCAGTGAAGGAACGCGCACGCGCCCATGGAGTCGAGGCTGGTATCACACCCACGTGAGCCTGTGTAGTTGCAGGGAACTATTAAACGATAGCACCATGCTAATTGAAGCCGTAACCAAGTAACTCGATGTCTTGTGGCATTAATGCCGTGGTCTAGTACGGCCAATCACCCAATCTCGTATACAGGAACGCATGATGCAAACCTATGCAACCAGTTAGCCGAGTCTCCGTACTGTAATACAAACTTTAATCAACTCACAGCAACTTCAGTACAATTTGGTCGTAATTATGTGCTAAAACAGAAGTGAAAAAATATAGGTTATTTTTTTTTAGTAATACACATGTACATTATTTACATTTAGTCATTCACACTTTACACATACAGTACATGAATTTATACAAAGTAAAGCGTTCACATGTTTGGTCCATTTACCTGCATGCATGCACATCAAATATTTATTTTATCCGTCACATTCAATTCCAAACGAGCGTTGTGCATCTTTGGTACATTTGATAGAAGTTACGTGATGAATGGAGGTCGCCATTTCAATGACATATGGACTACACGTTTAAAATTAGCAGTATACCTTCTTCAAAGAAAGAAAGATTTTGGTATAGGTTACCTCCGATTTAAGTGTTAGGCGCTTTTATAATAATATATTTTCAGTCATTAGCACAAATAGTTGGTGGAAAAGTAATCGCAATTTTTGAACAAGTCATAGCTTTATTCAAAGGGTCAATGAAGTGAATTTTTCTTTCGAACTTATTTTGTGCAACTTCCTACTCCTCTTAAATGTATGAATCTATTTGACATCCCTTTTTGGTAAATTTTATTGAAAGATGCAATTTTTAAAACATTTTTAAAACATTTTGCTGAGTTGGGGCCGTATCATAGGTCCGACGCCTCAAAAGTCCAACATTTCGGACCGTACGAGGCGTCGGACTTATGAGGCTTAAAATATATTAATTCCGCCTCATATAGGTCCGACGCCTCATAAGTCCGACGCTTCATAAGTCCAACGTCGGAAAAGGCGTTTAATTTGTCGGACTTACGAGGCGTCGGAGCTATGAGGCGTCGGACTTATGAGGCGTCGGACCTATGAGGCGTCGGAGTTATGGGTCTTTATTTGGTTAGGGTATGCGATTTTGTCGGACTTATGAGGCGTCGGACCTATGAGGCGTCGGATTTATGAGCAGACCCCACTGTGATGTCATGTGAAGAAGACATCACTGTTCACTTCAGGGGTTTTCTGTTCAAACTGTGAGCCCAAAAAAATGCTTAGTGAAATATTTGTGAGAAAAGTTTGCTCATTGGCACACTGTCATGTACTGACACAACAACGAATCGCCAAAGAAAAGAAAAGTAACGACAGCGAATTATCCAAATTCTGGGGAGTTTTGGTGCTGAAATATAGCTGTAACATTGAGGTTTCTGCCGGAAATGACATCACACTTTTGCGCATGAATATGGAAAGTGGCATAAAACAAAAAAAGGCACCAAAATACCCTTGAAAATGGCAAAACGAAAATTGAAAATAGGGTTAAATGCGACGTGTATTTCGAAGGATTGCATTAAAAAAATACATTGCATGGGCCCTATAAGCTAGAATAGAAGCTAATAAATTAGCTTACATTTGCCATATATGCTAAAAGGCCGATTACCGTGGATTGATGCCGTATGTGCTTCACGTCCTAATGGAATTGCCGAGTCCAAGTATAGTGTTCGCTGATCCAATTCCGCAGCGACCAACTGAAAGTCAAGCACAGAAAAAAAAGTAGGTCAGAACTCTCAGGAAAGGGTGAAATCAAAAGTGCCCTATGCACTTGTACCAGCTCGCAAGCCTGAAGAAACCTGTAGAGAGAAGACGATGAGAAGAAATTACAGTTTAAGAGGTGATGGGACGAAAAACCACAGACGAATATTCTGGGGAAAACCCACGGAATCAGGTAGGGGCTGAAAACCCATTCCACATGTGGACCAGGGCAGGAATCGAACCCGGGCCACACCGGTGGAAGGCGAGGAAAGTAACCACTGCGCCGGCCTACATGATGCATACATGCATTATAATTTTACAAATCCAATTCTACTATTCATTGAGACCGTATTTGAGTAGAGGGGCCGTGTTGCTTGAAAAACAACTTGTAAACTTCATAACATGTATTTTTAAATCAGCCACAAATGATTCTTTAAGATAGGCAGAGAAATTACTCAAAAAATTCAGTGCCCAGTGTCGTTCTGTTTTCTGTAAATGAATTTGAATTTCTCATTGGCACTTGTTTCAAAGTTCTCTCAATTTCGTGTGAATACTATAATTTGTTCCCCCAAAACACCGTATTTGTTTTCTGTAAATGAAATTTGTTTTGTACAGTATTGAATACTTTAAGTGGTTGCCCGCTAACTTTTCCTTAAATAATGGTCACAACAATTACTTGTTACCAATCGTATATAACAATGTATTAGTCCGATTGGAGTTGTAAAGTCAAGTCATTACAAGTCAATGACAAATCATTCGCCGGTCAGAAGCTAATAAAAAGATCGTTGACAAGGCATTCCTTGTCATTCTTCATACCTTGTTACTTATTGTGGCCATGTGATGGACTTGTGATTTGACTTGTAAGGGACTGATGATTTGCATGTACTTGTTGAATGACTTGTGATTGACTTGTGATAGACGTGATGACTTGTGATTTGAATTGTGATTGACTTGTGACTGTCTTGTGATTTGACTTGTGATTGACTTGTGATTTAACTTGTGATTGACTTGTGATTGACTTGTGATTTGAATTGTGATTGACTTGTGACTGTCTTGTAATTTGACATGTGATTGACTTGTGATTTAATTTGTGATTGACTTGTGATTGACTTGTGATTGTCTTGTAATTTGACTTGTGATGGACTTGTGATGGATTTCTGATTGACTTTTGATTTGAATTGTGATGGACTTGTGGTTGACATTTGATTGACTTGTGATGGACTTATGACTTGACTTTGTTTATCATGTACGTGTAGGCCCCTCAACAAATATCATGTACATGTGCATGTACTCACATTTGGTAGGTTTGGGTCTGTCAATCTGCCAGTAGTTGAACCCCTCCCTTGCCTTGTCATTAAAGCTTGTCCTAAGCGACCGGGCACTGCCTGGCACCTGCCGCTTTCTGTCATAGTTCCCCGGTAAGGTTCCGTTCAGCCCCGACACCACGACCTGGGTGAAGGTCGGGTCCCCGACCCGCTTGAGCGTGCCGTTGCTCGTGTACTCAAAGGTGGCAACCTGCTCGGTCTTCGGTGCCCGTTGCGCAAGGAGACCTGTCAAAAATACCCATAAAATTTGAAGAAAAAAGGCTATATTGAGCAGCCATATTGTGAGCTTTTCGGACTCTGTGTTTGTCACGATAACTACTGGCAGTCTCCATTTTGCAATTTAAGCAAACAACATGGCGCAGCAAGATCTCGTACCCATGGCAACGAGGTTGAGCCGTAATCTAAGAAACAAAGAGAAATACGTACACATTTTAAAAGAACAAGTTTGGTGCCACCAAGCGTTTTGAAGCTTTTAAGGTGGCCCTGTAAGGACACGGCATGTCTTAATATTGACATCTGCTTGGCACATATAAGCCTGTATATTTGATTTATGGTGTACATTCTTTTGCTACACTCTTCTCATTGACACTTACCTCCGTGACTGATAACTTTCCCGGAGGGCATGGCAACCTGAAAAGTAGTGCACTGAAAAGAAAAAGGCATGTAGAAAATTCCATGAAAATATAATGAGAAAAAATGCCGGTGTAGCGTGAATATCCGACTCCATGAAATGTGGACTCATTGGTAGTATTGCACATGCGTGAGTACGATAATATGCTATTTTTAGGATCATTATGGGAGAGTGACCTGTCACGTGCGAGGGATTAACCAATAATTGGGAAAAAGGGGTCCGATTTTCATAGGAGTCGGATTTTCATATGACACCGTCACTGAATGCCATGTCAATTTTCACCAATGCATGCAGTTATTATCCGGTGCGTTAGTGTGACGTCACCTCCGGCACTTTCTGCACGATTTGAACCGGAAGTTAACGCAGGCGAGCGTTTGCAGCCAATGGGCGCTAGTAATCAGTGGTGTGCGCGCGTGTATGACGTTTTTACTAACGAACCGGATATAACTGACATACAGATCCTTGTCATTTGATTGGTGGAACTCACATCTGGTGGATTGGTGGATTGGTGGATTGGTGGAACTCACGTGACATTCGTTATTGCTCCCATGCACACCGGGGCTCAGAAAGTCCCATTCGCCCATGGTGAATGGGAAATACTATAGACCGCTTGCAGACGCGTTCGATAATAGACGCGCGAAGGCGCGTGACGCCATGTTGTGGAACAAGCGTATATCTATACATGCACATTTTGTCCCACAACATGGCGTTTGCACCTTCGCGCGTTTATCGATCGCGTCTGCAAGCGGTCTATTCAACAGTTAGGATCGATGCTTGTTCCATGACGCGGTATTTAATTGTGTGCAAATCGTGCTGGTGTGCGCGTTCAGCGTCGCGCGTAGCGCGTATTGTTCCAAAGCCAGCTTTACAGAGTTGGGTTCAAACATTTCGCGAAAGGGTGGTCTGGAAGAGAGAAACACATTTTCCACCAATTTTGTATTCAAAATAAAAGAACAAGTATGTCAAAATGATATAAGATTTGAGGCTTTGCATGGTGGGGTATCGGTATCGTTTCGGTTTTTGCGGTAACACCATGTGGTAATAACTACTGCTTAGAAGATATTAGTTCTGAGAAGAACTTGTCCTGCTTATTATCAACTTGCTAAGTAGTTTTTGTTCTGTTTAGAACAGTCCTGCTGTAAGTTCTAAAAGAACTTGTCTTTGGTCTCAACGTTTCGACTAGCCTGCTCTAGTCATCGTCAGGAGACTGAAGATAGTTGGAGATGTCAAAATGACAAGGATTTATATGTCAGTTATATAAAACAAAATATTGAGTGGCTTTAAATTGTGAAAGTGGAGGACTATTATCGCTCGGTAAAATCTGGACTTTTCCAGGTTACTCGGCTTCGCATCGTGAAATGGAGGAAGTCCAGGTTTACCTTGCGATAAATGTTCCTCCCATTCCACTAGTCATTCAATAATTGTATACTATTCAACTGTTAAGATGGCGCGGTATTTGTGTGCAAATGTAAGCTGGTGTGCACGTTGAGCGTATTGTTCCCAAGAGCCAGTAGCTGCAGAGTTGGGTTCAAACATTTTGTGAAGGGGGTGGTTTGGAAGAGAGAAATGCATTTCCTATCAATAATTTTTGTAATGAAATAGAAGTTCAGTTTTAACTGTAAATAAAATGACAAGGGTCAGTTATGTAAAACAAATATCGAGTGGCTTAAAATTGTGAAAAGGAAGGAATATTATCGCTCGGTAAAATCTGGACTTTTCCATTTCACTCGGCTTCCCCTCGTTCAATAGAAAAGTCCAGATTTTACCATGCGACAATAATACTCCTTTTCTCTGAGCCACTCAATATTTGTATACCATTGCCCCCTAGCCGTGAGTACATTTTACCTGCTGTATCAATTCCGATGTCAAATAACGTCAATTTTCGATGAGCAAATGATTATGAGAGGTTGAAATATTGAAGTCGTACCCAACATCTATGATGCGCTGTAGGCTCAAGGCCTATTTGATAAATATTGTTTAGCCGATAACCTTGGTACAACACTTCCCGTGCGCACGACACACGCACCTAGACAGAATTATGATTGACCTGCATGCCAACAAAGCTTCGCGAGGTCTGCGTGTCCTTAGAACTACAATGTAGTGTGAAAGAGATCAGTGGTCATCACCGTACCTTGAATTGGGCTGTACTAGCGAATTCCGAAAAAGCTTAGGGACCGCCCAAAGTCCAGCCGATGAAAAAGGAATAGGCCATATTTTTTTTGAGCGAATGAGTTGCGACGAATACGTCATGTTGGGTGGAACAAAATGGACGTGAATCCCAGGTTTACTAACGTAAGTTTACGCGTTGTTATTATTAAAAAAAAAAACAAGCTATATAATTCCTGTTTTAGACCGAAGTCTGATAATTTCCATCATTAGATGATTATGTCTACTGTAACCAGACAATTGCTCGCTCATATCGCTCAAATGTCCAACTTCAACTACCAGATTTCTAGTCTGAGTATCATACATTCACATGTGTAGAGCCACACACTGAACATCTAATATATCCTAGCATGCAACTTGTATGCAACCCCGCGCAAGTTGTGACGTCATTTCGATCAGAAATGTGGACTAAGGTGTTGATAGGTCAATTTGGCTATGCCATGTTTTGGTAATTCAACGGGGCACCAAAGACCCCATATAAAAGGCGCCCGCTGAATGGTCAGAATCTGGAGATCAAGACACAGTCTTGTTTTGCATAATCAATCGCCGAATCTGCTCGCATTATCATAGACCCTTGCTGTGCAAGGGGATAATTCATAGCCTACCAGACTTCTTTGATGAGGCAGGCGAGTTTGTTTTTCTGTGGAGGAGCAATCGGGCCTTGATCTCTTAAACAAACATCATACTGCTGGAGAAGCCTATACAAATCCATCTGTGTGCCAAGCTGTGGGTAAAGCCATACATCGTCCTCGCAAACAGAGATTACCATTCTAGCCGCTTTGTAAAGCTGCACTTTCCGAGCATACCAGAAATGTTTTGATCTCTCCATGGCCGTACATAAATACTCAGGGAATTGATTTCAACTCAGTTCTCATTCTTGACAAGCATCGAATGATCACTAACTTTAGTACAAAAAAAGAACCTGAAGCAATATGAACGCGAGACCAAAGAGTTCGGAGCGTATTAGATTCATTGGCTTTTGCTGATTGTCTCATTATTCGTTAGTGGGAGACTTCCATGAAATACAATATTTCAGCAGAGCAGGCCGGACATACGAAGTTCCACAAAATACCATCAATTATGGAGAAATGCTGATTACGTGGTTGAGTTTAAGTCCTGCCCGTTACAATTCTGTGAGCCCCATAATCCGATAACAAGAATTGTCTGTTCTGAGCAGAAGTGTTTCAGGATCAAAGTCTTCTCATTCTTTTTTGTCTGGCAAACACAACGCGCATTTAATAAAAGATAACTGTATTATCACACAACAAACAGAGAGATACCCCGTGTGTCTACTACTAGTTTGACGCTAACAATATTAACAACACCTACCTTCGCATGCATCTTGGTCCAGTGGTCTGTGTAGCCCTGGGGGAGTTTGACGGGGTCATGTCGGGACCAAAAAGTCATCCTGTTCAGGACGACAGTTAAAATAGGGGAATGAATGTGCAGATATTATGTTCATAGATGTATTTTTGTCACTAAAGTGTCCAAACAAGGATGGGGCGCGCCAGCGAAAAAAAACTTGACTGGTAAAAATATCACAATTATGTGGATTTATATTACACATTGGAGGTAAACCTACACACTAAAGTTGCGCCATTTTTGACAATGGTTGGATGGAAATCACTAGAAAACGACAGAAAATTTTGTACCTATCTTGAATGTTATCACACTTCTATTGTTTTGACTACCGTTTACAAAAAAACAATTTTAAGGTTAAGATTAACTTGGGTTAGTTATTGATGAGATTTTGGCACGATGAATATAAGGTTAATTAAGGGTTCTTGTGATTTTTTTTATTCAAAAATGTTATTAAATGGGTGAAATAGTACATCAGAAAATAACATCTTTGACCATGAAAGAGAAGACCATGAGACATGCTCATCGCAAAAGAGATTTTGCATACCTGACTTGCTCCGAATGGATGATGAGTTTTATACAAGGAAAATATGCATATAGGCATGAAATTGGTCTTTGAAAAAACACTCAGGCTCCTTTTACGCAAAAGGTATGGAAGCACAGAGGGGAAAAGTGAAAAAAGAATCAGTTTTTACACAGTTATTAACGAAAGTTTAACCTGAAAGTTGCTGTCAACAAATCAAAAGTGATACGAGGGCCGTTTATTACAGAGACGCACTGTTCATCTTCTGTTGGATTCATAAGATCGAAAGTATGGAATCCCGAAGTTGAGACATGAGAAAATGGCAAGAATTCTAAATAAACTGAAACTAAAGAGACAAAGATGGGCGAACTTACGAAGATTTCCTTGGTGAGTAGGGTCGAAGTGCGTCAATGTTCGCCATCTTGACGGCGCTAGAAATGCAAGAAGTACACGGGGTGTTGTGGTGGTCCCTTTGTGTGAAGCGTGATCGATCTACACGCGGCGGATCTCTGTTTCGTTGCACAGACCACCATGCGTCGGGTATTGTGTGGGGGTGAAGCGCCGGTGACGCTTGTTGCTAACGTTACGGTAAACGAACTTCCCGTGTGTTACCAGAGGTCGCTACAACTTGCAGGGGTGGGAGGGGAATTAATTAACGATCTGTTTGCGAGACTCGGGGCTTATGCGACCCATTCCTGTTGCGACCTTCACTTCACTAGCTGCACTTCTTTGTCCGAGAAGTGGGCCCGCTATAGCCTTGGAGAGAAAACGTAGAGCAATTTCAGCAGGAATCGAGGGGAAATCTAAAATGAATAGTTAGCACTTTATAATTTGAGTTGGAAGTTGAAACTGTTTCGTTAATTGCCGGGGAGGGAACACAAATTTACAGTTGGCCCTTCTCTAACTCAAGTCTCCCGTCACGATTTTCCCTCAATGTACATGTACCGGTATATCATCAAGCTATGATAATAATACATTTTAATATCCTATTTTTAGGCAAGAAAACTTAGAAAAACGTGTGAAACTATAAAATTGTAAGCCTAGCTTAAAGTAAATTTAATACATTTAATCCTACTACAAAAAAAATGGTGAAGCATAGTTTTCCAACTTTGGTTTTCTTGATAAAACCTCTCGTCATGGCTACAACTTTATCAACCCATTAATTGGTAATATGTAGGCCTATCGTTATACTTAAGGAAAAAGAAAGACCCTAATATTTTCAATACTTCTTTGAAGAACGGTGTTGAACTGGGGCGGCAGGGGTTGCAACTGCCCCCACCCCCCGTTCAGCCACTGACTAATGTTATGAAACTATAAAGTTCCTCATTTGCCTCAAATTGTCTTAGAATGCAGCAGGAGAAAGCATCAGGTTTGGGGGGGGGGGGGAGGTAATTGGAGGTGGGAGGTAATTGGAGGTTGGGTGGCATGCCCGGACGTACCTTCACACAACCGCCCCTCATAGCAACCCCCATTTTCTTGAAAGCTAGAACCGTCCCTAGAAGCGTCTACATTGTACTCTCCCCTTCTGCGGAAAAATATCCCTTCAAATACGTGATGTACATGTATTCATTGGCGTATCCAGCAGAGGGGGGGGGGGGGGGGGGAACTTTGCCCCCCTGGCGGATGTTTTGACCATTTTTTTGCCAGCAATGATTTAAATAAATGTTTATAGAGTTCCTCGGACATAAATCCCACCAAAGAAAACCCGCTCAACAACCATTACCATGCGCCATGAAAATGTCCATTATTATGTTGTACGCATACTATAGTCAGTTTTGAAGAGCGCCCCCATTTGGAAGATGGGTACCAGCCCTCCCCCCCCCCCCGCCGCTTTTTGATTTTACGGAGGCCAAGTGGCCGGAGAAATAAAACATGTCTACATTTCGGCGAGGATGTGCGGTTGCCCTCCCCCTCCCCGACATCAAATGCTGGATACGCTGCAGCATGTATTTTGCTCCCTCGATGTCTCCGCTGATCTTTTGTAGAAATTTAACGGAAGTGTTCACAAAATGACATGCAATCAATACTAGGTTTACAATGCATCTAAACGTGGGCAATGCATGACGAAAACTGTTTACAAGGTTGAAATCTGGTCACCGGCCACCGTCACAAACGACCCCGTGAATAGCATCAACACCTGGAGGAACCGCACAGTGCACCGGTGGTGTCATATAGTGCGTCATCACAAAGGTCCTTCGAAAAACCAACCCAAGGTACAGGGGGCTAATGGCAGATTGTCTTTGTGAAAAAAAGTTAAAACAAACTGAAGCCAATCATTTTAAATCATCTTTTAACATCGTCAAGTTAATTATCGCCATTTATTTGGTAGTTTATTTTCAGGGTTGTATTGCAATCAATTCACCATATCAACAAAATATTGAACAATTTTAACTACACTCAACCCAAAAAGGAATTTTTTTTTTGTCTAACTCAAAAACTACTGAGCACCTGTCGCTCTAATAACGACTAATCAGTACAGAAATTCCTTAGCAATCCAGCCATATCCTTTATTGGGCCCAAAACAGTGATAATGTGTACGAATTTATGCAATTTATGACCAATGATACCAAAAACAGTTGCACTTTTGTATACGTGCAAGTTGTGGTTCACACTCACTTTGCACGTATACAAAAGTGCAACTGTTTCGGGACTATTTGTCATGAATTGCATAATTGTGTACACGTTATCACTGTTTTGGGCCAAACAAAGAGTATGGCTGGATTGCTAAGGAATTGCTGTACTGATCAGTAGTAATTTGAGCAAGATGTGCCCAGTAGTTTTTGAGTTAGACAAAAAAAGTATTAAGGGAAACTTTCTTTTTTGGTTGCATGTATGAGGGAGTTGCTATAGACCTTTATCATGCTGCCACCATTTCAGTCATGTTCCCTGCATCCAATAACAGTACTGAATGATAATGTTTTGTTTGTTTTGTTTGCAAAAAGGAACCAGACTATTTTTCCTTCCAGCCTCGCTTTGGTTACGTTGATTTGAATGGGAAAAAACAAGAATGATGGCCCAGCATGATAATGGTCTATTGAACTTAAGTCGAAGATTTGGGTCACTATTCCTGACACTTTTCAAACATGAGCATTTTAGAAGCAATGAAGAAAAAGTTTTTTTCCACTTCGGCGGGATTTGAACCCACGACTGTTGCATTACGATAGTGGAACAGTAGATCTTGAACACTTAGTAAGGACATTCAATCCTCAGTGAACAAATACATGAAAAGCAATAATTATAAGAAAAACAAAGCAATGAGAAGTGTTGGAAACGAAGGCTTATTTATTTAACGGAAAAAAAGTGACGGAGTAATTAAAGCGTATTTAAAAAAAAACCTACTCACAAGGTCAGTAGTGTTCCACGCCGCAGTTACTTAATTAAGTTGCCTCATCTCACCCCATTATACACTGGATTATCATTTATGATATTAGAGATAAAAGGTGTTTTGCATTTTGTCCGTGAAAGATTGTCCAAATCTATGTGGCGTTAGATCGAAAATCCAGACGTTGTCGAACTAGATATTGAAAAGTGCATGTCCTTGTTTTGTTTCCATAAGGCCTAGGCTGTGTTTCATGATTATTTTTTGACAAATGACTAGGTTTCGATGATTCAAAAAGTGTAAACCGCAAATTAATATCCAATGCCAAATAGCAGATTTTTGTTTTGGTTGGCAACGTAAGTGTCAGAGGAAATCCGGGTGCAGTTATGTGGCGCGTCCGTTGTGGTGCGGCTGGACTTGACCGCACCACGACCGTGCGCGCGTGGGGAAGTAATTTCCCAGTAATGCAGTTTTGGGATGAGTATAGAACCAACCAATGACCTTCGACCTAAAGGTATATAAAGACTGCACTGGCTCGTCCAGCATTCAAACCAATCGGAGGTATTGTTGACTGTGTTGTTTACTGTTGTCTTCTGCACCACTACACTTCGTAGGTAAGTAGTGTTTATTTTCATGAACTTTTATTCTATTAAGTTTGCAAATTTTTGCAACAATATGTTACGTTCGTTGTTTAACTGGTAATCCCGACATAGTTTACTCTTCCTTTTATTTCTTTAAACTCAGTTTTCAATTATTGCATTTTAGTACATATAGGCTTTCCAGGCCAATTTCCTAAAATGTTCATTCACTTCTGAAAATCGGTCATTCATTTTCCTCTGAATTTGAGAATCGCTCTGAACACGCGTTTTATTTTCGCCATCAGAACATTTAAGTCCATTTCAGTTCAATCAATTAGGCCTAAGTGATTGAGCAGCACCTTTCATTTATGTTTATTCAGATTCGTTTACAATACTTCTTTTTCGCTTTTAGAGGGCTATTTCAAACATTGACCATTCTATTTCACTTTTACGTTGATGTTCTGTGATGTAATCTGCTATTTTGAATGAGGAAAACGTGCCTTTGATTGCACATCCACGATTTTTTCCCCAGAACTCTGTGCGAAATATGGTATGCTTGCGTAAATGAATGCACAGGTAGCATAATTGGCCGTCTGTTTCTCAAAACCGAATGCACGGACAATGAAAACGATTGAACTTTCGTTGAATTGATTTGGGATTAAAGACGTGCATTCAAATTCAAAGGAAAACGAATGACCGATTTTCAGAAGTGAATGAACATTTCAGGAAATTGGCCGGGAAAACATATAGGCCGTTTTTGTATATGGCAAAAAGTCACAAGCAAGTAAAACAACCAGCTAATTACGAATTCATTTCTGATTCTCGACAATACAATTACGAGGGCAGATTTTAAGAAACCCCAATTCCTTGTTTGGTTGACCTCATAATAAATCAAACTGTATGAAAAGAAACTCTGGAATATTTTGGAAGTTGCAGTTAGAAAGGGAAGCAGAAATGGCCCGTTATTTTACCGGATTGTTTTAATAGTTTGTTTTCCCTTTTGGCCTCATCTGAATACACGATATTCTTTGAAGAGTGAAGAGTTTGAACTTTTTCTTGATTGTTGGTACATGCTTTAATTTCGACACTTCTCAAATAGCTATTTCTTATTATTTGGAGTCGATTATAAATTGTTGTAAACATTCTTCTGATACAGATCAAATAAAAATGAGAGCAGTCGCAATCATCGCTGTAATCCTCATGGTGGCGCTTGTCACGATGAATGAGGCTAAGCCGTTTGGCCGACGCGGGCATGGACACAAAAAAGGTACATAAAATGTATACGCAAGTTTTTGAATTATCATATTATGTTCTGTTCTTAGACGGCTCAATGCATTACTGTATATAGGGAAAAGCTCTAACAAACGCTGTACCATCTACATCGACTTTATTAAATAATATTGTGAACCCAAGACCCCAAGTGGGGTGGGGGGGGGGGGGGCTGACTACACTTACTGAACATATCTGGGAGTTAAACAGTATGTTTGACAGCATGTTATGTTAATCCGGACACATTTTCTGCTACGAACACATTTGCGCAGTTTAAGTAGAAACGAAAATAACGACGTTGGTGTGTGATTCAAATGGAAGTATGGGAGGGGGGGGGGGTGTTCTATCGTCAACGGTCCCCCACCTTTCCCCCACCTTTCCCCCACCCCTTGGTTTTCATATTCCTCGTTTATATCAAAAATATCTATACCATTATTGGGAAATGGTTACTTGTAAAACATAGTAAGATACTTTAACGGCATTTTGGTTTTATCTCGAGGGGGCACTTTAATGCTCGAGGGGGCACATTAATGGCCGCAAAAGGGGCACTTGGGAAAATCTGGGGGGGGGAAACGCCCCCAGCCCCCCCCCCCCCGGTTCCGCCGCCCCTGGTAGCAGAGTAGTAATCATAAGCGTAAATTTATGTTGTAAGCAAAGCCATCAACTTGCTTTGGGTGGAATCAATCTGAACTCTTGTTTGTCAAAAACCAAACAGGTCACCGTGATCAAGACTCGGAGAGACCCGAGTGCCATTCCCGATGTCCCCGCCCTACACGCCGCAGCCGCGTCTGTGCCTCCGACGGACTCCGCAACCGCACCTACCCCTCCGCGTGCCTTGTAGACAAGATAGCATGCAAGAAAAATATAAACATCACCATCGTCGCTGAGGGCGCCTGCCCCAGACCGCGCTCTGTCAACGGGTTTGGCATGGGAGGCAACAAGGAAAGTGAGAGCAAAGAGGATAGTAACAGCCTTGAGAGCAACGAAGAGGAGGATACTGTCACGACAACTACTTCCGGTAAGTTCAAAGGTCAAATAAAAAACCCTAAAAAATATCTTTTGAGTGAAGTTTGCTGATACCCACCGCACCGCCCCATCAAAAGACGTTGATGATCGTTGGTCCCTTTTACTAAGTATGCTTTTTTTTGTAGGTATTGACCAACCATGCATTCTGCTCGCACGCCGAATGCATTGGGATACACAAATTCCGTACAGTGAGAAATAATATACTACCACCGCCTCGTGATGGGTTTGTCGGGACGAGCAAAAATAATAAGACCAGTTATCAATCCCTAAATTGTATTCCAGACATCGAAAGAGGGGGGTGTGAACCGATTCTAAAGTTTTATCTTAGGACTTCATCTACGTTTTGGTTAACTCTTTCTGCCGAAAAGAAATGGCCTGAAATTAAGAAATTCGTCATGTTCCACCATATATAGACCAATTCCGGTACTTTATTCCCACACAGCTCCAGCCACTTCGCCGTCATCTGAACCATCAACGAGTGTTGACACGATGACTAGCGTATCAACTTCCGACACCAGCGCGCCCAGCGGACCAACCGTCCCACCAACGCCGCCAACGCCACAAACGCCACCAGCCCTTGTCACATCGTCCTCGGGTCCAGCTACCGTCGACCCGACTACCGCGGCATCATCACCGGCCCCCGGAGTCACTGGCCCTGGAACCACGTGCGTTACCTCTTGTCCCGTAGCGTCTTCCCCGGTCTGCGGCACCGATGGGGCCACGTACGGCTCGGCCTGCGTTCTAGAGGCGTATGCCTGCGCCAATAAAATAGATGGCCTAACTGTAGCATATGAGGGGGCATGTGTCCCTTAATATAAGTGCAGAAAACAGTAGCGTGGCGATAAATTTCGAATATTATTTCAAATAATTTTTCACAATAGGTGGCTCTGTTCAGAATAGGTGTCTTTTGGTGGTATTTTTAGTCGTCCCCTTTTGTCCATTTAATTACATTAAATCCACATTTGACAAATCACATCCAACAATGACCGTTGCTACTTGCTACTACGTCACTGCTGTAAAACAACATAATCATTGTCCGGCAAAGATAATATTTCAGGCCAGTTTAATGAATCTTAATTACTTTATGCTTATAGAATTTAGGCCCTTTCCAAGCTATTATTGAGGGGTGGTTCGATCCTTCATTAAAATGATATATAAAAGAGAGAATATCCAGGCCGCCTTAACGATCTGTACTCTGGAATTTATTAATGGAAGGTTCCGACTAAGGCGCGTATTATTAACAAGCACGCATGCGTGTGTCACAAAAGTATGAATATTTATTAAACCTGAACATTATGTAACAGTCAAAACATTCATTGATGTATAAATCTTACTTACGATGCAATCATTTTAAGTTATGTGTAGTTACAGTGCAATTTATTCTGTTTTCTTGAGGGTTATAATTTGTTCATTTTGACAACTTTATAAATTCATTGAGATTAATACAAATATTAATGATCCTTTGAAATATTACAGTTTTTAGTTCGATTATTGAAATTGAAGACGGGTTTATTTCATTTGTACTTAACCAACAATTGATGTAATTAAAAATGAAAGGAAATTAGAGTTGTTGTTTAGTGTATCATTGTTATGAAGGGAGTTTAATATCTTAAGACCCTTGTCTCAAAGTGGGTATTCTTTGGGTACTCTGTCTTGTACGAAAACATATACATGGGCGTCGCCAAGACGGGGCAAGGGTAGGCGCTTGCCCTCCCCCAGAAAAGCCCCCTCCCCCAAACAAAACAAAAAGGAAGGGAAAAAAGAAAGAAAAGAAGAGAGGAAAAGGGGTGTGAAGTCTTAGATGCTATTAGTTTAATACATTTAACAAAATGGGCGTCTGCAGGGGTGTCAATGGGGGTGGGGTGGGCAAAATGACCCCGCCTACCCTCGAAAAAATGATAAATTGCGAATATGCTAGAAAAAGTACAAGGATTTTTGGGTAAAATGTGCTAGTTGCCCCCCCCCCCCACTAGAAACAATTCTGGCGACGCCCACAAACATATATATATAACATTGAAATATAAAATGCGCAATGTCGGCTACAGGTGGGTTTTTTTTCTCCATTTCTTCCTTTTTGGCAGTTAGATGCTAATCCAGCATCATTTAATGGTTTCCTAAAGACAGTCGCCTATAAGAAAATCTGTGTGATTATTCGTTTGAACAAGAAATATAGCTAAAGCAATTGCACGATCCTTGAATACGACAAGTAACATCCTAATGATCCATGATCAGTGATGTTGCTTTCTCTAAGAGTCTACAATTCATGCATATTCAGGGTGAGTAAAAAAAACACGAAACCCAAATGTCGGGACTATTGATTTAGTGAAGTTCTACATACATCACTTTCAAAATGTAGGATATGAAAGCCCAATTCATAAGCTTTCTTTTAGTACAAGAATCATTCGAATCACTCATGTACTTTTTAAGTTACGGAATTTTAAACACAACCGCCGTTTTAAGGGTCTGTCCACGGATCACAAAAAAAGTTCAGTGTTCTTTCAGCTAAACGAAAACAAATCACATTGGGATGTGTGTGAATTGTTTTCGCTTTGATGAAAGAACGCATGCCTTTTTTGTGATCCGTGGACAAAACAGTGGTTGTGTTTAAAACTCCGTAACTTAAAAACATACATGAGTAATTTGAATGATTCTTAAACTAAAGGAAAGCTTGTGAATTGGGCTTTTATATCCTAGATTATAAAAGTGCTACATGCAAAACTTCACTAAAAAATGGTCCCGACATTTTTTTTTTAATCACCCTGTATACAGAGTCGGGCACACGTTAAACTGCTTTTTCATCAACATTAATGAATCTATTCACAGAACCACCACTGGAACAATGACCAAATTAATAATTTCTTGTGACTTTACACAAATATATGCCGGGAATCGGCGCAGGTAAACCTATCAGGCAAATACTACATCATTGTATCAAAATCATTCATTCTTTACCAAACATTTAAAGATGTAATATTGTCAGAATTATTTTCCGACATGCATTTGTACATCTTTCCCAAGCTGGATCATCATATACTATAAATGATATCTTAAGTAGAAAGAGTTGAAATAACATGTCCCATTTCTTTTTTTCAAGTTTGAATGAATGCCATGATATTGATGGCAAGTGCAATGTAAGTTACAAATATATACAACCATACAAATACATACAATGCCACTATATTCTTGTCAAAATACAATTTTATCAAATATCGACAAAAATCAATTATCAACAAATATCGACAGTTATTTGAAATATCGACAGTTATTTAATTGATTTGAAAAATCAATTATCAACAAATATCGACAGTTATTTTATTAATATGTTAATTTTCAGTCTTTCGATAAAAAGAACTGGGGCGAAGACGTATTTCCGATGACGCGTTTATCGTATGGGCGAAGTTGGTGTTGCCATGGCGGCGAGTCGATGATTCAACAATTCGAAGTTAAGTATTAACAGTTTTTTTTCAGACACAGAACACGTTTGCTGTTACAATGTACATTGCTATCGCGTGCAGGCTCAGATAATTAACAACCAACAGATAAACCTCCGAAAATATTGCTGGTCAAAATTGATTGCACGGCTTAAAAGGCCTAATTGAAGTCGATGTGTTGAAAACATCGTGAGTAGAATAAAGCCATAGGGTTGATCACTTTTTTTGTCAGTGCATACAACACACACGGGACATAATTACATCAAAACACTCGAATGTCATGGTAAATATCGAGAGGAAATTGTACACTCGCTAGTTTCTAAATGGATAAATGATGTTCGAGCGGTCGTACGATTGCGGTCGGTACAAAATAATTTAACAGTGAAACACAATGTGTTTACAGATTTTCATGCCTCTCTGAAAATATGACAGGTGTTCCAAGTGTTTTCGGACACATAGGGCAATATTGTGATGTAACAGTGTAGAAATTTGCTATAGGGGCCTATACATTTTAATTACGAAAATTACTTGCAACTCATCGGGACAATTTCAGCTTGTACTGACTGGCTGTCATGTACTTTAATCGTTAACGAGGATATCTTCGCTGCGTTTCCACCACACCTGCCCTTTACTATTCTTTCCCTCTAATAATTCATTAACTCTATACGTTTCCTGACAATACCCAGAATGTAACCATAGTTATTACTCCGTTTCAAACATAACTAGGATTGTCATCATAGTCGTCATGTTGTAAGGTGTACATTCCAGAATTATTATCGTAACGATCGGCGGTCGGTTCGTAACTCCCACTGTAACTTTCCTGCTCGCTGTAATCGCTCGGAGTGCGTCTACCGTACGATCCCTCGTCATCATTGGAGGGGCGGTAAGGGTCACCCCCTCGGTCGTTCTGGTCGTAGTCTGGCTTCCCATAGTCTCTGTACCGGTCGTCGTATTGTTTATCGTAGCTGTCTCGCCTATACCCATCTTCGTAGCTCCCATCGTCACGCGAGTACGGTTCCTGGTCGTACGCGCGATCGTCGTACGCGCGGTCGTCGTACGTGTGTTTGTGGTCCGCATCTGATGGCCAACTTTTGTCATTGTAGTCTCCGTACCGGTCGTCATATCGCCCGTCACGACTATGTTCGTCCTCGTATTTTCCGTCGTATCCTCGATTGTCGTAATTGTAACTTGCCACATCCGACGGCGGCCGGTCGCTGTCATCGTCGTAACGATGGTGATCTGGGTATCGATCCTCACCAGTCTCGGCATCGTGATGCGAGCCTTTCTCCGGGTATCCGGAATCGATGAAAACCCCGTCATCATAGTTGTACCCAGGACGATCGTAATCGGTATCGTATCGATATTTGTCGTGTGTCGTGGCTGGGTGTCGATCTTTGAGAGGGACGTTTTCGTACAGTGTGCGCGATGGAGCTGCTCTTTGTTTCTCCAGTGAGTCTCCGCGAACGGGGGAATTCAAGCGGCTTCCTCTTGGGACCACGTCTGGGTCGTTGTAACCCAAGACATCCTGGTCATGGGACAACTGCTCCTCGTTCACGGTAGCTCCATGCTGGCGAGTCACGGTAGTCTTCGATTCGTAGTTCTTAGATGACAGTCCGGTACTTGGAGGCTTGGCAGTTTGTTTTGCATTGTGGCTGGGATGGTCCACCGGCTTCGGCTTCTTCTCTGCCTTCTTCCTCCAGTAAAAAAGTATCACCATCCCGACGAGGAGAATAAGGAGCAACCCGCCAAACAGCGAGCCGATGATGATAGCTGTGTAATCCTCCGGTTGCTTGGTTGTTGTCGGAGTTGGAATGATAGCGGGTGCAGTCGGTACAGTGACAGGGTCAGTAGGAAGGTCAGCTGCATCTATGACCTGGAGGGTGACAGCTCTAGATCCTTCCATGCCCTCATTATCGATGACCATGCATGTCAGATTGACACCATTATCTACAAGTTCTACCTGTTTCAAGGTGAAGGTGAACTGCTCATCATTGATCTCGTAGCGATCTGTGGTGTTTTGTAGCTCCTCTGGGACAGTCCATGTAGTGGCGTTGACAGTCGACGTTTCCGTTGTAGCTGAACAAGTGAAAACGACCGTGCTTCCCACGATAATGTAGCCTTTCGTGTCCTCGTACGTGATCTCAACCGCGGGCGTGGACACGACGTTTATGCCCAGAACGCAGGTCCGGCTCAGGTAGTCCGGGCCCGTGAGCCCCGGGGTCATATTGCAGACAAACACCTCCCCCTCGTCCCCCAGGGACGGGGTGAACGTGTGCTTCCCGTATCGGTACACCCCTGCGTTCTCGTTCTCCGTACTGACCCCCGTGCCGTTCTTTTCCCAGGTCAGTTGGACCGGGGGCTGACCGATCTCCGACAGGCAGGACAAGACGGTTGGTGTTCCCAGTGTCACCCTCTCACCATCACCATCGCCCAAGCTCCCCATTGGTAATTGTGGACCATCCGAGGTGCAGTTTGGGTATGCCACTCCAGGGACGTAGTTTACCGTGAAACTTGCAGTGTTTGACGCCAACTGGACCGCGTTTACGTTGCATCCGCCAGGTGTTAATCTACGACAGACTATAAAGGTGAATTCCGCTGAATCAACCCGCGTTGGATTGCTCAGCTCGAGCCTGTATTCTATGGTCGTAGTGTCCGAGTTTATGGTCTCCGACACAGAGTACTTGTCCGAGTCCAAACCCAGGCTCGTGAAGGCATCCTCTCGCTTTATGAGTCCGTCTATGATGACGGCAGACTCCCTTCGAATGGCCATCACCTGGGTAACCTGGTTCAGGTTGCTCACTTCGACGTCCATATTGAGGTAGCTCGTCACCCCCTCGGTTCCTTTAGCATCAACCGGCTGTACTACTATCGCCTGGCCGTTAGCATCCCACGCGACGAGCACGGTACACAGTACAACAGTCATCCAATGTGCCATTTTGTGCTTGGCCCTATATGCGTCCTGACATTGCAATCTGCAAACAAGCAACTAATTCAAACACAACCTATTCCTGCCGTCCGTATTAGCGACTTCGACTGGAGGGTATAAACCGTGCGAATGAATACACATGAAGCACTGGCACGGTTTTTAAAGCCCCGTCGCCTATTGTGCAAACACACATGACTCATAACAACACTGCACGTTCAATCCGCTGGGATGGCCAGAATGAACTTCAGGTCCCAGTAAACAAATTCTCGCCATTTCCTACGAGACTTCGCCTTCAGCGTGACCAGGCACGCCAGAAACACCAACACGATTTGTAAAGCCCCAGCCGCTACCATTCAAACAGGATTCATTTATATGAAACTACACGATCGATCAATTTTGGATCGCCGAATGGCCAAAATGCAACTTCGCTACGGCGCAGTGAAAACATATTTAATACAGCCATTAATTAAGCATGAAACTAGGGCTACTACTCATATCAAGAGGTACCACGCCTTCATTGTTCCTCTCTTGATGTTAGGCATTAACTTACGCTGAACTGAAAAGAAAGCAAATTTTTATTTCAGGATCCATATTTTATTAAACCCCGGTTTAATAACTCATGGTTAATGATTAATAAAAGGTTTCGTTGGCCGGCACAGAGTACCGGTATTATACGCGTCATAGTATGACGTCAACTAGTCGGTAAAATAATTCAAACATGTACGTCCACTGAATTGTGCTGGTTGATAATCATGTATTACACATTTTTTTTTATTAAAATGATAAATTGATTAAATTCAAATGTAACAAAATGGAAGCCATGTTGTTGTTTTTTTTTAAATGAAGGGCTACAGAAAAATTATCAAAAAACTTTTATGTTTTCAACATCTGTATCTCACCCGTAGACGGCCAACCGACTAGCTGTTGCATGCAAGTTGGCCATGAGGTTAAGAGCCGTAGCTCGTGTTATACCCCATTTCCCCTAGGACCTTGTCCAGTTGAATTTTGAAGTGGAGAACTGTTGTTGCTGTCACACATATTCTTCAGGAAGGCTGTTCCACGAGTTAATTCACAACTCTCTCACTGAAAGAGTGATGGCGTAGATTTAAACATCTCTTCTTTTCTAGTTTCATTGAGTGTCCCCTCGTTCTTGTGTTTGCGTTGGGTATGAAGAGACTATATTACTCCCCCATCATGTGGTCTACTCCATCGTTCGTTCACGAAGTTGTCATTTTGAGCCATATATGTCCACGTTTTGAACCTCTTCGCAGAGTAGGCCTAATCATTACTTAACGACATTGATTGTACTGAAACAATACAAACAGTGGGTTTTTTAAGAGCTTGCATTATTAAGTCAGAGTGAATTGTTAAGACTGAAATTAATAACCTATAAATATAACCTTTCAGTATCAAAGAAATTCACAATAAACCAGTTTTTTGGATATTTTTTAACACGTATATCATTTTTTGTAAGGTCAAAGGGCAAAAATAAATCTGATAAAATATAAAAGAGTAGTTTCAAAAAAGCTGCCCTTTCTCGGATCTCGTTTGTTATAACTACAACCATTATGCTTTTGAAAATAAACGCTCCAAAATTTAGAATTTTGTGATACATTAGCAACCTGTTAACAGGGGAAAGATCTCCACATATATTTTTTTCACGAAACAAATTTTGGGACATAGCATTTTCAGGGTTTGTTTATTACGGAATAGCGATGTAATAAGTATTTTTTTTCCTTAAAAAAGATCAGAGGGGGGCAAGGGCCGATTCCCTGCCGCGCATATTTTAAACCGTATAGCGTGGAAGTGAAATATATGTAATTTCAACCCCCCAACTTTTGAAAAGCGACCATACTTTTATCACAGCAGTTAATAATAGGCCTATGCTTATGTGTGAAGCCTGCTATGTACAATGTACATGTACATACACGTATATCCATAAACCCAAATAATAGCGGTGTATTGGAAAGTCAATAACAGTGTATGTATGTGAGCCGTACAAAGGTCGCCACTATCACAGAAAGCTACCACAGTCAATCAGACACGGCATGAAATCGTACTTCCAAATAGGGTCAACGGTGACAGCCCGAAATGACCTTATGACACCGACCTCCCCGTGCGTTGCCATGGTTACTCGTCGATTCTCTGGTAAACCAATCACACCATGCTTGAGTGGAACTGCAGTACTATAGCCTACGTACGTGGGTATACACACGGACGATAGATAAATAGGCCTACACGTATCACTAGCACTATCAGTTGTGTTCATAGTTCAAGTGTTCATTCATTGATGTGAGCGCGTGCGGACTTCTATCACAAACCGAAAGTAAACAACACCAATGACAGATTGCGATATGATTTTGTAGGGGGTAGTATGGTGGTCCCGAAGGGACATAAACTATGTGAAATTTATTTCACGACAATCCTCCACATGAACACATCACGATTGTGTTTATGGTATCGCAAATGTTTTCATGGCATCGGGATCTTTTTCTTGACAATGCTGAGTTTTTTTTCTCACGAAGTCGTGAAAAGTCATCATGGCGATGGCGTGAAATAAATTAACTTCTTTGATGTCCCTTCAGAGCAACCTTGGACTTTGGATGCTACAAACGGAAGTCAAAATGGCGAACTCGCGTTGCGTGTTGTACTTCATTCTTGCACTGTTCTTGCCTGCTGTGTCTGCTGTGGTGCGTTTCACGAAGCAACCAGTCAACGTCACGCTAAAGGAGGGGGTTACATTGGCCTCCATCAGCTGCACGGTCACCGAACTGGAGGAAGCCACACAGATCGTGTCGTTCGAGAGAGAGCACCATGTCATCAGCGACGGCTCCTTCGGCGTTCGTGAGGCTATCTTGGAGAATTTGGGTCTGGATCCAGCAAACTATGGGATCGCAACAAGCACCAACTCGGATACGGGGGCTTATGAGTACACCTTGAATATCAATTCCCCCACCAGGAATGACTCCAGTCGGTTCCGATGCGTGGTCTGCCACATGGTCATGGACAGCTCTCGTCACTGTGACGCGAACCACAAATATGCCACCTCGGACGAGGTGAGTTTGACGGTCTACTACCAACCTGCCGACCGCTACCCGATCTGTACCCACTCCGGCCGCGCCCCAACAGCGGCACCAAATGACAGCTCCCTCCTGTTCACCGAGGGCCAGCCAGCAGAGTTCACCTGTACTTCGGAGATCGGTAGCCCACCTGTTCAGTTGGACTGGACCCGGAACGGCGCTGATGAGTCGACGGCGAAGGATCAGATGGAAGTCTCGGACAAGGCCGGCCTCCGGGAATCGAAGCTGACAGTCACCCCGACCAAGGAAGACAACGGAACTGTCTTGATTTGCACGCTGACTAGCGACGCGTACAACGAGACGGAGCGACACTGCAGCCTGCCGCCACTGTATGTGGTCCCAGCGGACGATGACGCGCCGGGTGGACCCATCAGTGGCACCAACATCGTCATCTTCATCGTGCTGGCTGTCATCGTCGTGCTGCTCATTGTTGCTATCGTCGCTGCCCTCTTCATGAGGAGAAAGAAGAGTCAAGAGACACGTGGGCATAAGATCGAGTACCAACCTGCTGAGACCGGAGACACCGGTGACGAGCTCAAGTTTGAGACACATAGGGACCTCCAGTGAAGACTGTCGACCACTTCAACTGAGCAATATGTAATCACTTGTTTTGGCAATTGCACCTGAAGTCACAATTTCTTCCTTTCGAAAAGTCAGAGTGAGATCCATTACTCCTTACACACCCAAGACTCGCAAGTTGCCGCAAACTGAGTGGGAACGCGAGGCCCCTACATTGCTTGAACACTAAATCTGCAAAGACATGAGACCCAAGTGGCCTGAATGTTTAATATTTTCAAACCCTTCCGCGAAATAAGTTGACTTTAAGACTTCAGCTATACTTAATTTGCCTGTTTTTTTTGTAACTTTCCTCTTTTAAAGATTTTGTACATTTTGTACCTTTCTTTTGTACCTCCTTTTGTACCTTCCTGTTTCGCCTTTACTAAAATTTAACTAGGATTACTGTATTATGTAAATTAGTTTTGTTTCTACTCCTAATTGGCGTCAATGGTACGCCCTCATTGGTTAGCAAAAATAATCAAAAATATATGTTTTTGTCAGCCTTATAATTCAAAGCACTTTTCCAAACCGTGAGATATGTGGAATGAAAAGGTTCTAGCTGCACAAGTTAATTTTAGCTTTACGTTCAATAGTGAGTACTGTGGAAAAAGATATGGCTGAATAGAATTCGATTTTTCAAAGTTTCGCAACGCCGTATATTCTTAACTTCGCCAGACTTTTCTTTTATATCAAAAGTAAATATACGAAATTACTAGATTATAGATGACTAGAGTTCAGAATTCGTCTGTTTCACTGATCCATCTAGATACAGTACATAAATATATGTAAGGATCTATACCGATTCAACATTTCATGTGGATCTTTTTGTTGTATTCAAAACGTGTATGTTCGTTTTTTTTTTGGAAAATAGTAATTACTTTAGATCTTATATCAAAAGACAACACGAGGTATACAAGTATTGTTGATATACAGTTTATTCAGTGTTCTACTAATTCAAGGGCGGATCCAGAACACAATTTGTTGTTGGGGGGGGGGGGGCAACAATTTTTGGTCCCCCAAAAAAGTGGGTCAAAAAAATTACGGCGTGGGGTTCGGGGCCCTTAAGCGGGCCCCGATTTTTTTTGGATTCTAGATGCTCTGTGGTGCGATCTGAGGCAATTTCTAACCACTTTAACCAAAGTTTTTTTGAGGAAAAGATGGTGGTGTACTCATTGCCTACCTTTATTGCGATGGCATGGCATGGCCCCCTTTGGCCCCCTCCCCTGGATCCGCCCTTGTACTAATTGTACTGAAATCTTGTAAATGTTCCGGTGCATTAGAAAGTGGTTTCTTTTTAATAAACGTTTTTTTGGGCTCGTTTTTCTTATTCACAAAGAGAGATATACATGTAAGTGTATTTTTAAAGGTGTTCCGCCAGGCTTTTCCCCGCCTATTTTGATCTAGAGGGTGCTCTTTTTGCTTATCAATTCATTCACATTTCATAAGTCAAGTCGTAATGTTGAGGAAAGTCAAAAATAATCATCTCAAAAATACTTCCTTGGCAAGCAGCAAATTTCGGAGTTTGGGTGGGAGCACCTGGGGGCACTGGGAATTTGTGGGAGGGGGGGGGGGAACATGCCCCCCCCCCCCCAGCTACGCCACTGCCCCAAACCATTTTGTCTCGTAGTTGCACTGGGTGTTGTTTGTTCCTTTAATTCCAGTAAAAACAAACATTGATCTCTAATCGGATAGATAGATGGTTTGGTTTATTGCTTTTACACTCGTGACCAATGGCCAAATTACAGTAAATATTACAATTGTCAGGAAAAAAACCACCACATTCAAATTACAAAATTAATCTACATAAAAAATAAACATCTTATCGACAATGAAAATTGAATTAAAAGACTCATTGGGACATAAATTAACCATCAATATATACACACAAACGAACTGCAACTACCTGTTTGATAAATTCACAAAATAAGGAATAGGACTGTTTTTGAAACGAAAGGTCCTGGTACGGAGCTGGGAGACATTATGTGCTCTGCGCAGATTGCGAGAATGACTCTCGTATCTAATAGAGGGGAGAAGGTCCTTACAGTGCGGGTAGACTTGGAGAGCCCTTCTGCAAACTGCTGGCAGTGATCTTCTCTTTTTGCTAGACAAAGATTATCTTCTGCTAGACAAAATACTGTAACACAGCAGGATCAGAAATTGGCAATATGTGACTTACTGTGGTAAAATGAGGAATGTCCCCCCCAAACCATGTTTTGAGTAATCAACGCCTGAAGTTGGGTACACTAAAAAAATTATGTCAAAATCAGTATTGTTTCTTTTCTTATTTTTGAGTAGCCAAGGTATCCAAGATTCACACTATGTATTTTTTTGAGAAAAAATATCCCCAAAAGTTGGAAACTGAAGAACGATTTCCACTGCTGTTGGCGGCGCAATGCGTATTTCTTTTTGTTCAAAGCCGTTTTTCTCGAAATGGGGTTGGCGAAATTCGGCGGGACACCGTTGAAATTCCTGAGGGATATCTTTGTAATAAATTAAGCTAATAAATTTGGTATCATTAGAAAGCCAGTGATTTGCGCCTTAACATGATGTACGTAACTCGAAAGTCAAAGGTGGGGGTTTATCCTCATTATGGTATAGCAGGTCACACATGGTAAAGCCAATGTGTATCTATGATCCGTACGGAGAGTGTGGTTTCCACCCAAGGCCGGGAGGAACCCAGTTAAGGTGAAACTGTCTCGTCCAATCATGCCGCTCTCTACCGACATCGCCAGAGGCGCATGGAAAATTACTGACCGCGTAACTAGTCGCAAAGCCGCGATGACACTATTTTCTATACATCTCATGCAGGATGACTTTTTTTCTGAGTATACACTGCACAGGATGCGACTGGAATCCAAACTAACTGGCGAGACACGTTTCCGTTGTCTACAGAATATGTCAGAAACAGGTGTTTATTATTTCGAAGGAATGGAATACTTTTCATAAGTTGGAAAATGGGATGGTATTTTTTTTAACAGCAACGAACAAAATGTCTATTTTCCTCTTCGCTATTGTTTTTTCTTCAGCATTGGTATCAGGGGCGTAAATCCGGGAAGGGGGGGGGGAAGGGGGGGGGGGGGTATATATCCCCCACTTTTAGACCAGGTGGGGGATGGGCTATTGAATCATCCCCCCACTTTTTCGTGATGAGGAAAACAAAATGCGCATTTTGAGGTATTTTTCGAAAATCCATTCCCAACAACCCAAATGCATTAAATAGCACTGAAATGTGGAGAAACAAAGTAAAAAAGCTTTTAAAATGCGCTGTTTTGATGTAAGCGCGAGTATACATGTAGATATACATCTTTCTCCCGAAGAGCGCCCCCGTGTAATGTGGTGCCCAGCCTCCTCCTCCTCCCCCCTCCCCCCTCACCCCCCCCCCCCCGCTTTTCGAATTTCCATGGCCGGGCAATTTTTGGATTTTGGTCAGCCCCATCCCCCACTCGCTGGCACAGATTTATGCCACTGATTGGTATAGTTAGAACTTCTTCACATCATCCTCTTCGCTGTTCCCAGAGGGCAAGATTAGTGTCCTCTTCTCACCTGTCTCTCTGACTGCTTAACTGACTGACTGACTCCCCGACTCCCCGACAGTCCCTTCTGAATCAGACTTGCCTAAGCCCCACAATGGCCCACAAATTTGAAGGAGATGTATTCCTGTAGATATCCTTAACATACATAATTGGTCGGTGACCAGATTTACCATTGGCTTGCTTATTATCTTGTTTACTAAAGTAAGTGACCCCACCGATGTAAATATTAATTCAAAACTGTGTTCAAATTGTAGAAATGCTTCTACCCTGTTTATTATTGTAGTGAACTCCATCTTTCCTTACATAAAAATCACCTTTGATTCACTTTACAAATAATATACAATATTTGCCAACATCACCCCCCCCCCAACAAAAACCTCCATATATACCAAATTATTATGAAATACTTTACTTGACTGTAAGTGAATAATAGTCTCAAACAGTCTCCTGACGATGACTAGAGCAGGCTAGTCGAAACGTTGAGACCAAAGACAAGTTCTTTTAGAACTTACAGCAGGACGGACTTTTCAAACACAGCCCCCCAAATTTACCAAATTTAATTAGTTTTGTTTGCAATCGGTTATCTGTGAACGGATGTAAGGCAGGTTTCCTTGTTCCCTGACCTGACAATTCTATAAATTCCTCTGTTTCGTCTGAAGAAGGGTCAGGGAACCAGACTACAAGAACAACATTTTTTCTTGGTTTTCCTAGCATCTATGAACACAAAACTTTAAACAGGCCAGTGTAACAATATTTGCAATATATAAAATGCTTACCCCAAATCCATCCTTTTCTGAAAATTACAGCAAAAACAAAGGTTGTATTTAATCCTCAAGTTCTTGCAGACAAAAAAAGTTCGTGGGTGTTTCCTCAATGTTGATTGGTCAGTCGAAAATCAGCTGCTGTTTCTCGACATTTCTTCATTGTGTGTGACTAAGATTATTTCCAAGAAGCCATGAGGTTTTTCAGGGTAGAAAAGGATGAGGAGTTTGGCAAGTCATGAGAAGGGGAGGGGGGTCACAGCGGAGCAAAATATAACCATGACGTCATTGAGTTGATATAAAGGCGGCGCCTCAACTGCTTCGTCAAACTCAGCAAACCTAACTGTAGACGAGTGTGGTTCCATACAACTGCATACAAGTGACATCAATCAAGATACAAGTAACACCAATTGTGAGGTCGAAGGAGGGACAATCTTTGCCGAGCCACAACCTTATGAGGTAAGGACAGATATTATTCCTTTCAAAGTATCATTGAGGTATTTTTTTGGGCCTGTGTGCAACAGCGAAGGAGCTCATATAGCGTACTGTTCCGACGTGATGTCTTTTCTGTGCGCTGCTTGCCGTACTAAGGTGTGCGGAATCTATCGTCAACTGTTGATCAGGATTTCATTTGAATGATTTCACTTAAATAAATTGCTCTATGACTTAAAATTTACTGACTTAACTTTCGTTCCAACGTGGCAATTGATGATTGAATTTGCTGAAATTATGATGATGCACGACGCGCGGTTTTGTTCCGGTCCTGTGCCGAATGTGATCACCTTTGAATCATTGTTTCGGCACCAAATTCGTAAAAATGGGACGCATGGGCCTTTTTATATTCACGAATCGGCCATATTGGATTGAGAGTGAGGTAAAATATTCATTTTTGGAATAAATGTAGAGAAATGAAAGCAAGAACTAATTAATTCCAGTCTGCTTAAATGAACATCTTCAAATGTGTAATTATAAACGTTCCCTAATGTTTAAAGCCAGATTAAAAAAAAAATACAGTAAAAAAAGGCTGCATTATGCCTGCAAAAATAGTCTTGCGCCATCCCATTCAACAGTTAAGAATTCACGATATATATGTTCAGGGAACTCAACAAAAAATAGCCAACTCGTGAATAAGGCCCATAACGTTCGCGGGAAATATATTTTACGTATAGGCTACCGAAAAATTGTTTGTTTTGCATTGGCCTTGCTGGAAAACGTACTCATTCATGAATGAAATATGCAATTGCTGCGTCTGCCCGAGTTTAATCCTTGCATCTGTAATACTACGCATGAATGTGTCTACAAGCATGCTGCTTTTTTTTTTTAATATACATGTATTTGTTTATATCGGTCATTGCTTTTCTGGGATCAACCCAGGGGCCTTTGTGCTTTGTTTCTCGGTTTAACAGTGTTATTGAATACATTTTGGTGGGTGGGATGTTTGAAAAAAAAATACCTCGAAATAGGCATTTTTTTCAGCGCGAACAAGTGGGATGGGGAATGATTCAGTAGCCCACCCCTTGTCAAAAAGTTTGTGGGATATATACCTATCCAAAGATGATCACCCCTAAAAGCAGTGATGAAGCCCATCGCCATTATGAAAATGGACGCCTATACGCTCCATTGCAAAATAGAGCCGTTTTAGGGCCTAATCATCATCCACATTTCACAGAACTACGAGCTCGCAGTCCACTGCACGGCTTCCAGCCTTCTTTTTACAAATCATCAAGTTCACGGCCTTCAAAATGCTCTAATACTGAAGAATTTGAGGGCATGCAAATCGTGATTTGGCCGGCGAGGGCAATTCCGGAACGATTTACTGGTCTTCACCCTGAAATGCCCACTGAAGAGACGAGCAGCCATCAATTTTCAGGCAAATAGGGCAATCCATATAATCCACAGAGACCCATATCCTAATGAAGTGATCCCCTTTCGAAGCCCTATTTCCACCCTTTGCGGAAGTGGATCAAGCGCGCTCAAAAAACACAGACAACCGAGGCTCAACACTGAGTCACCACCGGTTCTGAACAAATTGGCAAAGAAACAGAAAAACTTCATGACCAGTTTTGTTTAATGAGACAGACGGGGAAATTGAAACTATACAAAACGGATATTAGGCCCATGCTCGCAACAAGCGGGACATCGAGCTGTGGATGCTATTATGGACTTATTCATGAGTCGGCCATATTAAAGGGAATGTACAACATTTGCTTTTGCTGCAATTTTCAGAAATAAATGGATTTGGTGGATTAGTATGTCATAGCAAACTTTGTTAAACTGACCTTTTTTTCACGTTTTGGGCTTGTAGATGCTGGAGAAACCAAGAAAACCAAATATGTTCTTGTAGTCTGGTTCCCTGACCCCACTTAAAATGAAACGAGCAATTTATAGACTTTGGGGAATTGTATGGTCAGATAATCAGTCTGGCAGGCTTGTACCCCTTCACATGTGTGAAATCAATTGCAAAGAAAATGCGGAATAACTAAATAATATTTAGTTTATTTAAAAACTCCTAATTCTTCATATTATGAAGAATTAAGGTCCTAAATCTTCATATTATGAAGAATTAGGAGGTTTTTTTTCTCCAACGCTGGTCGGCCGACCAGCGTTGGAAATATACAATTTTTCTTACAAATGTCACGATTTTACAGGATGCTTTAGACTGTCATTCCCTAACAATCAAGTAAGGTATTTCGTGATAATTTGATCATTTCGTTGTTGATGTTTTTGCAAATGTTGTACCTTCCCTTTAAATTGAAAGCGAGGTAAACTCTTCATTTTTGGAACTTAAAACAAGAAATTAAAACAACGAAATAAAGGTTCATTACATATTAATACCGGTCTGCTATGATGAATAATTTAAAAATTTGTGAATATAACAGCCGCGTTTCCGGGGGGGGGGGGGCGGGTTGACCCCCAGCTCTGTACAATTTTTTTTCATAAAAATTCATGAAAACTAATGCGAACCCCCCCCCCCCCTGCTCTGCCCCCCCCAATAGACTGTTAATAATGTCCAACTGTGCACACAAAACGAATAGAGCTACAATCCTGGCCAAATCTCGCTGGGCCCCCAAGCCCCCGGCCCCCGTTCAGTGTTGTCTCTCATTGCGCGGTGTGTGCTCCATCAGCTGAAGAGAACACCATTGACCGGGGGAGCGGGGAGTGGGTGACAGTGGCAGGCTCAGGAAGTGCCCCAACCATTTTGGCCGGGATTGTAGCTTGATGAGGGGATACTTTTCTGTAATATTCACAATTCTGTAATATTGTGTTAAAGGGAAGATACAACATTTGCAAACATCAAACAACGAAATGATCAAATTATCACGAAATACCTTACTGGATTGTTAGGGACTGACAGTCTAAATCATCCTTTAAAATCGTGGCTCCTGGTGTGCTGACAATTTCAAGAAAAACTGTATTTTTCCAACGCTGGTCGGCCGACCAGCGTTGGAGAAAACTTGCTTTTTTCAAAAACTATTCCTAATTTTTTATATTTAGTTATTCTGACTTTTCTTTTCAATTGATAACACAGCTGTGAAGGGGTACAAGCCAGTGCTAGACTGATTCTATGACCTTGCAATTCCCCAATGTGTATTAATTGCTCTGTTTCATCTTAAGTGGGGTCAGGGAACCAGACTACAAGAACATGGTTGGTTTTCTTGGTTTTTCCAGCATCTACAATCCCAAAACGTGAAACAAGTCATTTTAACAATATTTTCTATAACATACTTATCCTCCAAATCCATTTATTTCTGAAAATTGCAGCAAAAGCAAATGTTGTACATTCCCTTTAATAATCGTCGGATTTGAACAGCGCCCCCGTTGAAAGTATGGTAAACCCCCCCTCCCCACACACACTTATTGATTTCGGAGGCAAAGTGTCAGGAGAAAAATAACCTGTCGACTTTTTCAGACTTTTTGGCTGATGAAACCCCCCCCCCCCCTGCAAAAATTCCTGGATCTGCCCCTTTTTAAACATACCCTAATGTTTTAAGCCACATTTAGAAACAAAATTGAAAGTGAGGTTTAATCGGCTGCACTCAATTCATAACAATAGTCTGGCACCATTCCATTCAACAGTTTACAACTGAATGTATGGAATTAAAGAACTGTAGATGTGTGTTCAAGCCACAGAACCCTGGATAATAATGTTCTTGAGACTGATTCTGCAGCTGAAATGTTTAGCTTATTTCTAAAGGTTCCTTTTTGACAAATCCAATAAGAAACGTCACTAATTTGTGCGTAACATCTTCACAAATTTCCTACTTTTCAAAAATATTCTGACAAACAATCCAGATGAACTTATTCAAAGAAATATCTGGTTGTTGTACTGTTGCTTGACATTTCGATCAGCGTTTTCTGGCAGTTCGTGCGCTGCGACATTTTAAGTCTCCTAAAACCAGGTTATTAAGAATAACCTGGTCCGGGAGAATTAGACTACAGTAGTCATTTTTTTAGACTCCTGCACGAGCTTTGACGTGTCACTTGGGGATAAGTCTGTCCGTCTGTCCCCAAAAATTGACGAACAAATTTATGAAATTAGCCCCCCCCCAAGTTTCCCACGAAATAGAACTACCAAATTTTAATTTTCCAAAATAAAAATAAAAACAAATAGGGTTTTCCTGCACATTTTAAAACTTTTGTTTTTCATTCAAATTCATAAACGGTTAACTTCAAGTTCGTCTCGAGAAGACTGGAACGCGCAACTGCTACAATTAATTTCGTCGTTGGTCATTCCAACTGATTCCTGGTCAATTATTTTCAACATTTGTCCATTCGATGTCGTAAAATTTCAATGGAACTCGTCTCACCTGATGACCATCTATATAATGGTGTGAATATGTCTTTGTTCAATCGATTTCAAGAGATTTTCGATCAAATTCATCAGACAAAATAATGCGCACGCTGGTATACCATGCACAAACGTACTTGATATGGTGTATTGCAATACAAAAAAAATGAAGACACAACAAAATAAAGTTATTTTGTTTAAAGTAGAAATGAACAGATGAAAGCGTAAAAATACCGAAGATAGCAATCACGAGACGAATTTGAATGAAATTTATATAACATTGATTGCAAAATTACGAAATAATTGTTTCATCTATCGTACGTTCGGCAATTGCAGACGACGAAATTGAATTGACTTCAGGAAAAAATATAGATAAGGTATGAAATTGTGAGAACAAAGTGGGAAAATGAGCGATGAAATTGAATATGGGGTATGCAAGATCATGAGTTTTCAAGCCGAAATGGAAGTAAACCGTTTATGAATTTGAATGAAAACAGTTTTAAAATGTGCGGGAAAACCTATACTTTAACAAATTTTTTTTATGAAAGGTTTGTGAATGGAGGCAAAAAAAGTGTGCTTTAATGTTAGAGTCACGTGGTATTTATCACAAATCGCTATCAATCTAGTTAACATCTAAACTATGGTGTCGTATAAATGTGCCATCGGCGTTGCATTTTGGGCGTCGCATTTTCAAGCTTTGACGGGGATCATTTTGATAGATTTCACGCAAGATTTTGGCATGCATGGCGGCCAGAGCTTATTGTGCAATCGGAGTTGTTTGTCCCTCGCCGACTGACTCTCTGACTAATTGTCACTTGCGAGCCGGGCAGTGCTATCGTATATGATTGCCCCGTCAATGAATGGTCCATTCCTGCCAATTATGTTCGCAGGTGCATGGACAGATTTTCAGTGAGTACCCATTTTAAATCAATTGAATAGGATTATGTGGGCTCCGAGACTAGCTTTTTATTCCTACCTTGTGTTATTTTCCTTCAGATTCCCAACAGAGTGTTCAGCCGGTCTAGCGCTGAAGCTTCTACCATTGCTCCTCCTTCTATGCTCGGCATTCACTGTGTCGGTGTACCTGGCCACCCAGGAATACAGAGAAAATCGTTTCAGAGAGAAAGGTAAACGTTGACAATCTTCTATCTTTTGCTATTGAAGCACGGCTTTTCTGCGTTTTAAATGTTTTAATTTTGAGGCTGCTAAGTTGTATACACGTGGAAAACATCGAAACATCACCAATCTAGCACGAAGTTTCCGTTGCCATCGGCACCACATTTTATTTTGTAATTTTTTTCAACGTATCTTTAAAATCCGTTCTTGTGTAGTGTGTCAGTCCGGGATATGCCCCGACGCCCCAGCAGCGACAGCGCGTCCCGTGTGCGGCTCGGACGGTCAAACCTACGGCGATGAGTGCGATTTGGTGCTGGCTAGTTGCTCGCCCGGCCCGGCAGGCAGGGTGCCACACAGAGCACATTATGGCGAGTGCACGGGAGAGGAGCAGACGATCAGCCGCATCACTGGCGGGAAACCAGGTGAGGTTGACCTGCTTGTACTTGTCGACTGAAGCGTGCGATTGTATTGGTAGCCCGACAACGAGGTCGAGTGGGATAAGCCGCTGAAACGAAATGGCCAAGACGTTAGTGCGAGTGAGCCCGCTGGTCTAATTATTGTGCCATTAGAGGGCGCCCTATGCACCGTACACTATCGATTACTAGCGTCTTGGGCCAAGACTATGTAGAAAGTCGAGAGGGTTCATTTAGCCTTGATTCGAATATAGGGCAGGAACCAGCCGAAAAACAACAAATGCAGATCGAGCTGGTTCTCATCTCTGAAGGGAGGGAACCGGACTATCAATGAGAGCTATAAAGTCACTGATTCGGTCGCACTTGTCACCTTGTAACATTGCCCGGTGTAGTGTACTATTTAAGGAGCCCCATAAAATAATACTCATGTGCAGACAGCCATGTGAGGGGAGGGACTCATGCAAAGAGCCAAACCAGATTTTTGTAATCAGTCCGAAGCAGCAACGCTATTGGTTCTAAGAAGGGGACTTTACAATTCATTATTCTTCCCTTACCACTATCGATCATAACAAATGATGAGTTTCTAGACGGTATCCCATTAATATCAAATGGGAATTGTATAACCTACAAACAAATGCTTTATTTCCTGAAGTTTCTGCGAATCATCTCAACTTCCACTAAAAACGCTGACCATGATTATCAAGTTTTAATTATAGTACTCCATCTCCTTCTTAAAAGCTTATGATTCGGATGATCCACCGCTGACATGCCTTACCAGCTGCAGGCCACTCCGTGGCCGGGCAGTCTGCGGAACGGACGGTCGGACCTACGCATCGGCGTGTCACCTACAAAGGACCGCGTGCCGTGACTCGCTGGACCTGCTCACCGGGCTCCTGCAGGCGTTACTCCGGGGCAGGGGCAGGATACTGACCGTGGCTCACTCGGGGCCCTGCCGGGATGATGAGGGATCCAGCGAGGAGACGACGTCGGCTGGAAGTCAAGAGACGGAGGCAGACTCCAGCAGTGAAAGGAGTGACTGGCAATCAGATGGTTAGCTCGCGAAAATTGTCCTTTCTTTTATATTTCTGAAGACTCAAACCATGAAAGTTAGTGATTTGTGCTTGTCGCAGCCGGGTCAACATAAAGTCCTCTTTGTACCTGACTCATTCACTCACTCAGTCACTGAAAGTCACTTGTGAATTCAACTTACTCAAAGTCTTACCTTGGTCCAAAAGAAAACGAATACGCTAAACGCAACCCATTGTGTAGACCACATGCATGAAAGTAAGTAAAGTCTGTCACTCACGAGCCAATAATGGCCCATCAGGCCAGCGTTTCAGTGGCATGAAACGACTGAGTTTATTTCTATTCCCTCTGGATGGGATATGCTAGCCCATCGCAGGTTACTCCCCAGCTAATGCCGGTACCCATATATTGACTTCTGGGTGGAGAGAGGCAAGTGTGGATGAAGTGACTTGCCCAAGGACACAACAAATAGCGACCAGCTGATCATGAGTCACAAACCCTTAAACCACTGGGCCTCATTCCCCGTGCATGAAAAGACTTCCAGTGTGTAGCCCTTCTGATTCGAATGAATATAATTTGGTGTGCTCTTTATTATGCTTGCCTTGTCTTGTTTTAATGGTATCTATTTAGAGGTAGCAATATGGACACCAACTCCAACAGCACCAACAACACAACCCGTGACCTTTGCAACGACTAAAAGCGAAGGTGCAGGAACTTCCCCGAGCAGCATGACGGCGGCCTTTATAACAGCGCCCTCTACGGATGTGACATCCATTGAACAAACTCCTGACCAATCAACAGACGCGGACGAAAGTCATCCCAGTACCGAGGCGTCGCCAACCACAACAGACAACGGCGTTCAAGCAACATCCGAACCGGTTGAAACTAGTCCTGCTGCAATGTCTGACCAATCAACACCTGCGTCTGGAACCTCCACCGCGAAGCTTACACCGACCACAACAAAGATCGACGGATTTGATTGGTCCTGCCCTGCTGATGGTCAGTGTCTCTCGATACCGTCCCGTCCAATCTGCGGCTCGGACGGGAAGACGTATTCAAATCTGTGCCTGCTCAGAGACTTTGTTTGTAAGACCGGAGATACAACCCTTACGCCGGTCCGAAGTGGCAACTGCACTGGAAAACCTGAAACTGAAGGTATAATTATTTATATTTGGCCAAAAATATGGGTTTTTTTTGGTTTAAAAAACAAATCGTAATTGCAATTTGATGTTAGGGCAACTTCATCTAACAAGCATTCAAATTGATCTTCGCACGAAGATACTCTTGTCTGTCATCTGGACATGGGAATTTTTGTGGTAACAGCATAATTGAGAATTTGTGTCACACCGTCCAGTGATCTACATCAATCATTTGATTCATCCCAAAATAGTTTTCGCCAAAACTCGCATTTTATGAAATTCGTAAAATTGATTGACGCCGCTAATTTTTCCAATTCAGGTGGGGAAAACCTACATAATAATTATGATGTATCCTCTTTAAAGTCTATCTTTTCCTCCCAAAACAGAGTGTTTCTCGTGCGATGACTTTTACGACCCAGTTTGCGGTACGGACAAGCAGAGTTATCTAAACGTCTGTCATCTGAGGCAGGAAGCCTGCAGGCAGAGAACCACCGAACTTAGAGTGTCGTTTACTGGACTCTGCGAGATACCGGTCAGAGGTAAAGTATTTCAAAATGACATCAATTTAACGGAATAGATACATGCTTTTAAATTTCTGGGGAGATGTACTGTCCCGTATTCATCATCAAATTCCGATTTTTTTTTTCTCCAAAAAATTATGAACTTTCATTGCTATTTGTTTTCTATTTTTGGGGAATGCAACGCTTAAAAAAAACAACTTTAATTTGGGATTGTTTTTGCGTACATAGACCTTCCTGCAAGTAAAATGTTTTTAACCCTGATAGTGAGACAGGAACAGGTTTACCCTGCGGGAAATAAAATGTCGAGTTCCAAATACTTCGAGATTTCAAAAATATTATTCGATCAATTCGATCCGAGTTTTCCATCTAAAGTGAATATACCTTTTGTAATTTCTAGAAAAATGGCAATTGAACAAAATCTTTTTTCGGGGTGAAACTCGAATATAGCACGGACACATCATCTATATATAAATCACTTATTTTCTTTTTAAAAATCATCATGACTCATCAATCGATTCTATCATCGATAACTGATCAACAGGTGATGACATTTTTGGTGAATGTGTATTTTTAATGTTGATTGTTTGTTATGTTTATTGTCTTTTAAGTATGCTGGGGCCCATGGGAGACCAGTGGATTCCACTGAATGGGCCACCCAGTTGAAATAAGAAATAAATAAATAAATAAACAATACCGATTCCATTATCTTGCAGTCTGTTCGGCTTCGCGACCGTGCAACCCCTTCAGCGGTCCGCCAGTATGCGGGACGGACGGGACCACCTACCCGTCGCTGTGCTACCTGAGGCGCACGGCCTGCAAGCGGCGAGACTTCAGCCTAGTGGAGGCCTACCACGGAGAGTGCATGGCAGGCAGATTAACAAGTAAAATATAAAAAAAAACCGAATAAAATGAAGTTATGAATTGGTGGCATGTTGATAGTGCTAAATATACTTTGTGCAAAAACTGAACTCCATTGCGAAAAAAGTATTGTCTGTTCTCATTGACGGAACAAAGGGGACACGCCTATACCCCAATAATCAACGCTCGTGCTCCTCATAATTCAATGAAGAATTTAAAAAGCTTCGTATGGATAAAGTCTGTGACAAAATCTATCGTTCGGGCCCTCCTCCGGAAAGAGAACCTCAAGTACTCCCTTCAAATTTAACGTTAATGCTGTAGGGCCTTTAAGCAACACACCACAAATACATTGCTTATGTATCACGATTACGATGGATAGTTATTTAAAGGGAATGTACAACATTTGCTTTTGCTGGAATTTTCAGAAATAAATGGATTTGGAGGATTAGTATGTTATAGCAGCTATTGTTAAAATGACTTTTTTTCACGTTTGGGCTTGTAAATGCTGGAAAAACCAAGAAAACCAATCATGTTCTTGCAGTCTGGTTCCCTGAACCCCACTTAAGATGAAACGGAGCAATTAATAGACTTTGGGGAATTGTAAGGTCAGGTAATATTAGTCTAGCAGACTTGTACCTCTTCACAGGTGTGTAATCAATCGCAAAGAAAATGCGGAATAACTAATTATGACAAATTCGGAGCAATTTTTGAAAATAATCCAGTTTTCTCCAACGCTGGTCGGCCGACCAGCATTGGAAAAATTCCATTTTTCTTGAAAATGTCAGCACACCAGGAGCCACGATTTTACAGGATGCTTTAGACAGTCATTCCCTAACAATCCAGTAAGGTACTTCGCAATAATTTGATCATTTCGTTTTGTGATGTTTGCAAATGTTGTATCTTCCCTTTAATGACGCAAACATCATCACTAAGCCTAATCCTAACCCTAACCCTAATCCTATAGCCCTATAACCTATCCCTAACCCTAACTCTTTCCCTATATCCTAACACTATCCATGGCGTTGGCGACAAAGTAATACTATCGACAGGGTGCAGGTTTTATTTGCCGGTTGGGTGAGGATTTCTGTTAGTTCTTTTATTTAAATTAATAAAGTGGAAAAGGCTACTTTTGTAAGGCGTGATAACTGAGAATGAAATAGGCCTACTAAATTTCCTTCATTTTGTGATTATTAACTCTGTATAGCGTTAAACATGGTTCTTCCGAATTCAATGCCATGAGTTCAGGACATTTTAGTTCCCAACCAGTAACAGTTCACGTCTCCTCCTTGTTGCTCTCATCAATTTAATTTTCCCAATCTATTCAGATGTTTGTCAGGAGCGTTGCCCGGACATCGAGTCAGCTGTGTGCGGTACGGACGGGCTAACCTACCATAACTACTGCTTCCTGCAGCGGGCGGTGTGCAGGGAACCGGGGCTGTTCCACGCTTACGATGGACGGTGCAATCGGGTGAATCACCTGCCGCAAGGTACGGTAGACCGCCACTATTTTGTTCTAAATTCATGGAACCTCAACTTAGTTTCAAGATTTTGGAGCAAAGGGTGGGGTGGGGGGAGGGGGTGGGGAGGACCCGTTCATTGAAATACAAATGAACTAGCGGAAAGATGCCCCACACAACACACTTTCGGCACATCTGTGACGAGATTTGTAACATTTTTTTCAGTTTATTTGGGCTTGTAATAATTATATCAAGAGCTTTCGTGACATCATTTTATGATATAAAATATAAAAGTCAAATCATCGTGTTTTCTTTACTCAATAACAAGTGCACTTTGTATGCTTGGGAGAATTGTTTTGGGGGTAACAAAAGGACTATTTTATCCTACCTGATCACAGTGCCGATTTTCCTCTTTTTTGACATTTTTTTGGGCTCTTCCCCAGATATCTCGGCCTTGGTACCATGATGAGTCCATTGCAAGAGTCACATCAGTTTGTGGAAACCGTACGGCATACCTCCAGTCATCACAAGCAGGACATTCATATTTATTTTAATATTACCGTATTCCGCACGTGCATGTGAATACCAGATCGAGGTATTACCTAGGCCTCATCTACTTTATATATATTTTTTGTAATTCAGAAAATGAAATACTGGACGCAGACTTTCACTAAAAATTATATAATGAGACAGTTTCAAAATCACAGTCTTTTTTATGATTTAAAAAAAAAATTGTTTTATTTCTTTCTGATAATCAAACCAAGGGTTCCTCAAAAGTGCCCTAAGCACTGTAGCTCCCAAGCCTAGAGAAACATGTAGGGAGGAGACAATGATAAGTTTTAGAGGCGGGAGCTAAAGACCAGAAGCATATTCTTGGGAAAACCCACGGAATCATATGGTGGCCCTGAAGGGACATCGCATATCGCAAACGTGTGCGCATACGTATGCGATGTCGCGAAATTTATCGCGAACGTGTGCGCATACGTATGCGATGTCGCGAAATTTATCGCGAACGTGTGCGCATACGTATGCGATGTCGCGAAATTTATCGTGAACGTGTGCGTATACGTATGCAATGTCGCGAAATTTATCGCAAATGTGTGCGCATACGTATGCGATGTCGCGAAATTTATCGCGAACGTTTGCGCATACGTATGCAATGTCGTGAAACAATTCGCGAATATGTGCGCACACGTATGCGAATTTGTTTTGCAATGTCGTGAATTTTATTGCATACCTTGTCGCATACCTTTCAGTAAAATTCCTAATGAACTGGGGAGTTGTAGCAGCTAGTCTGGAATCTAGATGTACTGTTAGATATAAATAGGGTCTGACTAATAAACCTTCGCGCGCACGCTGTTCCTCGTGCAATCGTTACTACTAGTACTGTCGAGCGCGAACTTGCTACTTACGCAACTTTCAAATTTGCGCGCGCAAGTTTCAAACTTGCGCAAGTACCAAGTTTGCGCTCGACAGTACTAGTAGTAACGATTGCGCGAGGAACAGCGTGCGTGCGAAGGTTTATTAGTCAGACCCTATTTATATCTAACAGTACGTCTAAATTCCAGACTAGCTGCTACAACTCCCCAGTTCATTAGGAATTTTACTGAAAGGTATGCGACAAGGTATGCAATGAAATTCACGACATTGCAAACAAATTCGCATACGTGTGCGCACATATTCGCGAATTGTTTCACGACATTGCATACGTGTGCGCACACGTTCGCGATAAATTTCGCGACATCGCATACGTATGCGCACACGTTCGCGATAAATTTTGCGACATCGCATACGTATGCGCACACGTTTGCGATATGCGATGTCCCTTCAGGGCCACCATAGAATCAAGTATAGGAGCTGAAAACCCAATGCACATGTGGTCCAGGTTTTCCACATCAGGAAAAAGAAAAACCAATAAACACTGAAGTTATTTCCTGCTCATGTCAGACGTAGTGTGTCTAACTGAAATTTAATGTTGTGTATAGGTCATATTGCCTTTATAGAACTTGTATATACTGCATATAACGTGAGAAACAGCTATGGATAGGCAGTACACAAATGCCGAGCTCAAATTTGTATCCTTGTGGAGACATTTCCACAATAGGGAACAAAAGATTGTATAGGTCTCCACAGGGCAATTTCTATAGATGAATAGGTCTCCACAGGGCAATTTCGATGAATAGGTCTCCACAAGGTTTTCACGAAATAGATATATGGGTTTTACTCAAAAACTAGGAATTTCCAAGGTGGGTCGCAAATGGAAGAGTTTTAGAAAAGGGATATTAAGTCCGAATTTCAGCCAAGGAAGTTAAATCTGGTTAAATAAGAGCATTTTGAAACTTCACTTTCAAACTCGAAAACTTGACTACACGAGAACAAAGAAATCTCTCCACGAGGATACAAATTTGAGAAATTTGGTAATGAATGTTTATGAGTGCAATGGTAAGAAACATTTTATGAGACAAATGGAACTCATTTCACAAGGCGAAGCTGAGTGGAATGGAACATTCCTTCTGTCACCGAATGAAATTATTCTTTCCATTGCACGAATGTAAAACATTCATCATTTGTTTCGTACAACACCCGAATAAATCCTTGTCATCTAAGTGGTCAGAGCCACAACTTCTCATTTTTGTTTTCCGGTGCGGTGCCCAGCTGCGAATGATTTTCCCCCCAAACTTCATTGCATGGATGGTTGTTGAGCGCCCTCTACGAGACTTTTCTTATACGAGCGCCCTCTACGATACTTTTCTTATACGTTCGAAACCGTATTTATCATTTTTTTTTTTCACAATTTGCAGCTTTTTGAGGATTTTTTTTTAAAGGGAACTAAAGTCCAAATTTCATTAGGTTCAAATTCATGTCTTTTTTTCTTTTATCATTTTTTCCTCATGTTTTAGGGAAGTAAAGTCCAAAACCTGATAGCCTACAGCCCATATGCTTATGTCGTTTAAATGACATGAGATCGACGACCCACCAATCGGATGACGGGGATTTATTCAGGCGTTGTATACTTTTTCGTGTCAGCTGGGGTGGCTTGGGTGCAGGCAGGCCAGTAAATCGGTCCAAAATTTCCCGTCCCGGCCAAATCACGATTTGCATGCCCTCAAATTCTTCAGAGTTGAGCATATTATATTGTGGGCCATGATCTTGAGGGTTTGTAAAAAATCAGGGTGGAAGCCGCGCACATGTGAGCAGGTATTTCTGTGAAATTTGGATGAAATTGGGGCCCTAAAAGCGGTCTATTTTGCAATGGAGTGTAGGCACTGTTTTTTCAAAATAGGGGTGATCATCTTCGGATGGAATTTCTCCCAAAAGTCATGAGATGGCAGGTTTTCTTTACTTACGTCTTGGCAGCGCTCTCAGTTGGTCAGAAGTGGCCTACATTCCAAGTCTGTCTTAACTAACCCTGGTAAAAACAACAATCAATGTTTTCTACACGAGCGATTGCTTGGTTTGAAGTTTTTGAAATTTCAGGGATTAGGTTTAGCGTTACCTTTTCATTACAAAATATGGCCAAAAACTGACTTCCAGGGAAATCACTCAAGTTCCAAAACAAGTTATACACACTTTTAGAAGTCCTTATTTTAATTAATTCGAACAATGGGAGTGGTTGAAACTGGTTCCCTTCCCACCGTTATTCCAATAGAGGGACGGGAACCAGGGCTAAGCTTCACTTTTTTTGTACGTGTTGGAATGGGAATGTTTTTTTTTTGACATGGAGATCAAGATGCCATCTTCCCTACAAAAACGGAAAACGTAGCTCCATACTAAATTCATGTACATGTTTTTTTTATCAATTTTGCTAGCAAAAGAAGCTGGATTCGTACAAAATGAGTCTAAATGAAAAAAAAAATACAATTAAAAGATTCTTACAAACTTTTCAAATTATCTATTCTATTCAACAAAGTATGTAATAATTTTACGTAACATAATTATGCTAACGTGGAAATGAAAATACGTTAAGGTTGTTTTCCATAAAGATATCGGAAAATATAAAAAAAAAAAAAACAATATAACTTTTTTTGTCCTGTGCAATATTGTATGCCTGTTTTGAAAGCGTATAGGGAATCTATGCTTTAAGAAATAAGTGTGTGTGATTAGTTACAAAAAGCGGTAGATATGTTTGATGCAAATACAAATTGTGATTTACAACAGGGTAAAACATTGTACATGTAATTGATAACTTGAAAGTTGCGTTTAAGGGTACCATTTTTATTGTTTCACTCAAAACAAACAAAATCTACAGATCCCCGGCTCCAGCCTGATCATTTCTAGGTGTGATGTTTGTAGCGTGTAGTTCGTGTCTAGTCATCTTGCTTTTGGTCTAACAGCAGCACAACTGCGTCTGATCTATCCTCTTAGATAACCCAGGAGGTCCTCCAGCAATTCTCGCTCAGAGGGAGCCGGTGGTGCTACTATTTCATTGAAACCAAAATGAAAATAGAATCAGTTAGTTTGTTTAGCAGACGTAGATACAACTAATGTTGTAGTTTGAGGATCAGGCGTTCGCGTGTACAGAGCTACACTCTAGTATGCGTGCATGTAATTTAAAACGACCCCGCACGCCAGCCAATCGGAGCCGCCTTTATAGAAGTTCTTACGTCATTTAAGACGGAAACTCGGCCGAAGATATTGATTGGTCAACACGATAGAAGGTGCCCGCTGAATGGTCAGAATCTGGAGGTCAAGATGCGGTGCTGTTTTGCATAATATGCACGCATATCATAGACACTTGTGTGTAAGCGTCTATTTGATAGTCGTTGGGCAGGAAAGCAAATTTATACAAATTGTTTATAAGTCAATTATATCTTTCGCATTATTTCGAAAACCCGAAAGATATTGGAAACAATCGCATTTTCAACTCCAAATTGGAAGAGATTGTTTGGTTTCACGCAGCCAAATTTATTTATTTTTTTAAATAAATATTTTTGCTCCAGTTACATTCCTAATCGTTGAATACGGTGTGGGATCTACAGACGTTTGCTTCCACGATATACTTACCACACAGATTGGCATTACAAGTGTACTCCTTGGGGCATTTGCTACACGGCTCGCCTTCCACATACGGATTCTTGAAAAGCAAGCTTCCACTGAAAACACAAAACGAAAAAAAACACCATTCCATGGTCAATAAAAGGACATTTTTTTGGCATACGCAAACGTATTTCCAGCCGTGTCCTTGCAATGTACGGTACTCGTTGTGTGTATGTCTGTCGCATAATACACACAGCACCAATACACAAATGTAGTTTCTCGCACATCCGCAGAATACGATGTACTGTACGACAGGATTCACAACTAGAACTCAACAGCTCGATTTTCGAGAGTCAACACTTTGACCCCCGAAATTCGTTCTCGCATGGTTCTCACAGGAATAACACACAAAAACGCCCAGTTTTTAAAGGATGGTTGTGTGAATGTTTATATCATACTCTTAAATGCAATTAACATCATTTCGTTTAAATCTTGTTTTGTGTAGCCCATTTGGGTGCATTCTAATAGACTGATCGTAACACATGGTCAGATTCTTCCTCCCATTATTCTTACAGTGATTTTGCGCGTTTGAAATTATTCACATGAAAATGTCTGCACTACGAAATACCGAGCTGTTTTCATTGTTTATGCAATCTTTCTAGTAACAAATCAAACACATTCTCACGTGCATAGAATTTTGAAAGGACATATACAGTGTGTATAAAAAACACACGATACATTTAGAGAAAAAAATATTTAAAATACTAGCTCCTATTTTGTTTAATAATTACTTATATACGCTTAAGAAATGATTATGTCACAACACAATGCTGATTTCTCTACATCTTTGGACGCCTACATCCAGAGATATAGACATTTAATTCGCATGCAGAGCCTGGATCTGGTAACTTTACACAATAAATATAGCCGGTTTAGTGATTCCCGTGTCGGGGGTTCATTGATTCCCGTGTATACACGGGAATCACTGAACCGGCTATTTTTATTCTGTAAAGTTGCCAGATCGAGGCTCTGCATGCTTATGGCGGAGCATGCAAAGAGCGAATTAAAAGGGATGATATGTCAATGTGGGCCCAAAAGGAGATTAACATGCCAGCAATGTCTCCGTTGGCCAACTAACTTATTGTTCTTTGCTAATCAATATTAATCATTGGAGCGCAAGTTTAGGTTGTTCCAAGCAATATTGATTAGCAAAGAACAAAAGGTAAGTTGGCCAACAGAGAAATTGCTGGCATGTTAAAATTAATCTCCTTTCGAACGAGATAGGGAAACAGCATTGTGTTGAGAACAATTAATTCTTTAAGCGTGTATAAGTTATTATTGAACCAAATAGGAGCCAGTATTTTTATTTGTTTTCTCTAAAATGTATCTTTTTAAAAAAAAAATCATTCCGTGTCAATTTAACGGGCCATGGCACCATTTGTCACAGATTTTGTTCAAACTTGGTGGAAAGGTTCTGTTAGTTGTTCTATAGATGATATCGAAAGCAACAATTCATATTGCTTTCCGTTGAGGTGTTACGGTAGCACAAAGTTCAATGAACTTTGCCAAAAAAGGGGAAACTGACTTGCCCACAGAATAAATCGCTGATTTTAAGGACCGATATCTTGAGATTGAAATTGATTTGGAAGCTGAATTTGGATGCATGGGTACAACTACTGTAGTAGAGCAGGAATATAGGGAAATAATACCCATCATGCATCACACCTTAATTTTACGGGGGGTCAAAAATGATCCGTCATGATGCGTCACATGCATTTTTTCAAATTTGAAGGCCCCTAATCTTGAAACATTGCATTAACTTTTTTTATTTCAATTTTAATGTAATCTCTGACTACTAATATTGACAATTATGTGAAAGAAAGAGCAATTGTAGACGTCTTCATTGATCTGGGTGACCCCCAATGTGGCCCCAGCCAGAAATCCGCCTTAAAATGTGCCCAAAACAAGGGGAGAAATCACCATGTGGCTCAGGTGATATAGTTTTCTAGACTTTTTATTAAGAAAGAGTTTATCTTCAAGATTAATATTATCAAAAAAAAAATCATGTGTATCTGACATTTTCATGAAAAATCAAAGCTGCAAAAAGTGTATTAAACGCACATTGTGCATGTGCAGGCAATTTTGACTGACCCCAATTCATCTCAGAAGCATAAATAGAACTTTTTTTGGCCAGTATGCCTCTCTACCTAATGTTGGTCCAAAAACTACATGAACATCCACACATTATGTTCAAATTGTAATGGGGGGGGGGGCTTTAATACACCTCTTGTGTTGTGTACTCATATCTCATATGGTGTCTCTTACAATTTTCCCTTTTTTTCATCAAAGTTTGAAACTGTGATTTGACATCGCTTTTGTGTGATAAACATAACAGTGATGACAATATTAAACAATTTTCAGTCCAAAGTCAAACAAATTGTTAATATTTAACAATTTTGTTCAACAATTTTACTTCCATGTTTTTCAAAACACCCCTCTAGCTATGTTATCGTATGTCCCTCTCATGAGTCGTAAACAGCTCCTTTTCGGCAATCGGCAATTTCTAGGGCTGAAACAGTCTAAGTCTGCTGGTCCAGACAGACTTTCTCCTCGCCTCCTCAAAAAGTGTGCTGATCAATTGTCATACATTTTTACTTACATTTTAAATCTTTGTTTCACCACCCAATCAATTCCGAACATTTGGAAACGGTCATGTATTATTCCAGTTCCTAAAAAGTCAGTGGTCACGTGCAATAATGACCTTAGACCAATTGCGTTAACCTCCGTGGCAATGAAGATATGTGAGCGTTTTGTTTTGAATTATTTGAAACCATTGATTGCTGATTTTGTCGATCCATTGCAATTTGCTTATACCAAGGGGCGTTGTACTGAGGATTCAATTTTGTTTTGTTTAGATAAACTTTATTCTCATTTAGAACGCACTAGGTTTGGAAACTCTGCTCGTATTATGTTTTTCGATTTTTCTTCGGCTTTCAATACCATGCAGCCCCACATTCTTGCACAGAAACTACTTGACATGTCAGTTGTGCCCCATACTGCTGTGAGATTCATTTTAAATTATCTGACTTGCCGTTCACAATTTGTGCGTCTTAATAATTCCACCCATTCTGATGTTATAGTTTCTAGTACTGGAGCTCCGCAAGGCACTGTTTTAGCACCGTTTCTGTTTACTGTGTACACAGCCGATATCCGCTCTACTGATGTGAGTTGTCCACTGGTAAAATATGCAGATGACACTGCCCTTATTGGTCTGATTCAAAAGAACAAAGAGTCCATTTACATGGAGCAAATTAGTCGGTTTGTCGAATACTGTAAACGTAACTTCCTCGCACTGAATCTCATAAAGACGAAAGAAATGTTGGTTGACTTCCGCAAAGCTTATAAGCTGGTGCCGGATCCAGTTATAATTGATGGACATGAAATAGAACGTGTTGCCGAGTATAAATATCTTGGAGTTGTTTTTGATGATAGGTTAGACTGGAGCAACCATGTGAGTCATGTAGGTAAAAGATTGAACTCAAGAATGTACTGTTTGAGGAAACTGAACACATTTGATGTCAGGAAGGAAATCAAGACAATATTCTATAACTCGGTTATTTGTAGTGTATGGACCTATTGTTTGTTATGTTGGGCTGGAAATACCGATAAGAAAGTGAACAAATTAATTGACGATACCATCAAACGAGCTAGTAGGATACTCGGTGAGTGTTTGCCATCAGTGGACACGGTCTACGACCAACAGCTGCGTGACAAGCTACAACTGGTGTGGGGAGATGCTGGTCATCCGCTCCACAACCGATTTAAGGATAACATCATTCCACGCAGCGGAAGACTGAGACCAGTGGTTGCACACACAAACCGATATTCTTCATTTTTCACAGGCAGGGCCATTAAATGTCATAATGATGATTTTACAAGATGATTTTTATCCAAAGGATTAATTTATTCTGGTATCTGAGAAGCAACGGGTTTTCACAGTTTTTGACATAATTTTTATACTTAGTCCTTTATTCTGGTTCTATTTTGGGAATGGGTTTTGCATTAATTTCACATGTGCTTTTTTACGCTCTAAAGTTTTTAGTGCTTTATACTGTGTGCAATTGTAATGTTTTGATGTGATTGTGTATTTATTTCCTGAATATTGTAGCGTATGTTGAATTTTTTATATTTTTAATGAGAGACGACAACATGTAATTTCCTGTTTTGGATTTTAATAAAGTTTATCTATCTATCTATCTACGAAGATTGACATGCGCGTCGTGCTGCTCACTGCACGATGTGGTGCAGAGCGCAGGTGTGCCGATGTAGTGTGAATTTCGGACTATGACATACTGACTCACTGGTAGTATTGCATATTCCTATGTGAGGATTGTGACCGTTCAACCAATAAAACGGTTAAAGGCACCGGATTTCACAGAAGTCCAAATTCATGTGACACTCCAAAAGTTTTTAAGACCAGCCAGCTGGTCTTTATCAACCGTTTAAGACCGGCCGCGTGACGGGCTCTTGACCAATAGGAATGGGTAAACTGTCTCAGGTATTTTCTACAGAGTTTGTTATAGCAAAGAGCCATTTATTCATCAAGGGAAGATTTTTTGACACCTATTTTGTATGTGGCGTTATCTTTTAATTTAATGTAACAATCTGGTTGTACAGAACGCAAGCACGTAGGTTGTCTAAACTGAATAATTGCCAAACCGCATTTTTTTTAAACCAGTAGTTGTACTGTCTGGGGATTAATTGATCCACTTTTCAAATTAAAATACTTGGGATTTTAAGGGCAAAACTTGAAGGCTTCAACAGCTGACAAATAACGTATTTGTAACACAAGGGAGTGTAAAAAGGCTCCCTCCCTCCCACTACAATTTGCACATAATGTGTGGATGTTTATGTAGTTTTTGGACCAACATTAGGTAGAGAGACATACTGAGATACACATAAGCCCCCCAAAAAAGAGTTCCATTTATGCTTCTGAGATGAATTGGGGTCAGTCAAAATTGTCTGCACATGCACAATGTGTGTCTAACACACATTGTCGCCCAATTTGGGGGCGTTTTTGCAGCTTTGATTTTTCATGAAAATGTCAGATACACATGAATTTTTTTCGATAATATACATCTTGAAGATAAACTCTTTCTTAATAAAAAGCCTAGAAAATTATATCACCTGAGCCACATGGTGATTTCTCCCCTTGTTTTGGGCACATTTTAAGGCGGATTTCTGGCTGGGGCCATATTGGGGGTCACCCAGATCAGGGAAGACATCTACAATTGCTCTTTCTTTCACATAAATGTCAATATTAGTAGTCAGAGATTACACTAAAATGGAAATAAAAAAGTTAATGCAAAGTTCCAAGATTAGGGGCCTTCAAAATTTGAAAAAAAATGCATGTGACGCATCATGACGGATCATTTTTGACCCCCGTAAAATTAAGGTGTGAGGCATGATGGGTATTATTTTCCTATATTCCTGCTCTACTACAGTAGTTGTACCCATGCATCCAAATTCAGCTTCCAAATCTATTTCAATCTCAAGATATCGGTCCTTAAAGTCAGCGATTTATTCTATGGGTCAGTCAGTTTCCCCTTTTTTGGCAAAGTTCATTGAACTTTGTGCTACCGTAACACCTCAATGGAAAGCAATATGAATTTTTGCTTTCGATATCATCTATAGAACAACTAACAGAACCTTTCCACCAAGTTTGAACAAAATCTGTGACATATGGTGCCATGGCCCGTTGAACTGACACGGAATGACCCCATACACACTGTGTACTGACAGGAAATATACACCCATTAACATCCTCGAAACATCCAGGAAACAATCCACCTAATCAGGGACTAACAAATGCTGATATATGTCCGTAGGGTGCGATTCGCGGGAAGTACCATTGCAACCCCAATTTGTATTTTCTTAAGCATCTAATTGCAGACATTATCGAATCTTGAATACCTAACTAAATTGACTGACACCCTCAAGACCACCCAGTGTACTCACCCTGGCCCGTAGAAGCATGTCACGTACAATTCCTTGGATTCATCGTCTGAACATTTCTTCTTAGCGCATCCAATTGCTTCAGTAGTTGCCATTATAACCTGTAGAACATGAAACCAGTTTCCATGGTTTACCATTTGGGCCAAGTTCGGGCAAGGACCATTAGTCGACTAGTGTTTGATTTGTGACGTGCCTTACGCCTGCGCACTAATAGCAACGTGCGAACGTCTCTAGTCAAACGCTGGTCAAAATGTCTCGCAAAACTTCTGGATCCTGGCTCCCTGCTAGCGTTATGAATCCGCGCGGCTATTGGTTATCAGCGATGCAACCAGCCCCAGTAGGTTGGTTCCAAATAGTCGACTAGCGTAGTCAACCACCGTCGACTAGACAGAGTTCGGGCAAACTTTAGTCGAACTATGGTTAACCAATGGTCAACAATAGTTCTTGGCGAACTTGCCCGTGGATTACGCCGAGGCAAACATAGAAAATCGAGCGTTTGTGATAATTATGACTGCCGAATCTAATGGAAAAAGTGCATGGATATGTCTCACCTGGGTAAAGTCTGAACACTCTTTGAAGGATACCCCGTCGCTGCATGTTTTAGTTTTGAAGGAGTACTCTTGCCCATGTTGAACCCAGACCCAAGCAGGGACTCCGTGGGATGCTTCGAATCGTTCGATACTACCAGCCCAATTGTTTTGGCCAAGCCGTCCCCATCGGCCGGGGTCGTCGTTGATGAAGCGGTCGTTCTTAATCTGGCACTTTTCCACCCAGTCGTTTGCTCTTTCTGCCAAACCATCGTCCCATCGCTGTGAAGATAAAGTTCAAGATAGGTAAATCTTATTACTTGCAATTGTTTGTCCTCTCACTGTTTTGGCCGCATGACAGATGCATTAAATGCAAGTCTGTTATCAATCAACCGATCAATTTGGCCCCACCCCAAGAAATTTTGACCAATAACAACTAACCGCAACCTCGTCCCCAGGGTGTCGAGCAGTACGCCCACCACTACCTGCTCTCTCACCCTGGCATTGGATCATTTGCATTCACGTCATATGAATTCCTTTGGGGAACTAACCCACCAGGCCGGTTTTTACGTGCAACCTCTACGAGAAAACACGGCGAAAAATCATTAAAAACGGACCCTTTTCTCACATCTGTCGCCACCACTTCATTATTCGACAGAGTATACCTTACATCTTACTACAGTATGACCCTAACAAGCTACTCTTTCAGAAAATGAAAGAAAAACTGGATAAAACTCTGAGTTTCCCTCGCGAATTGATGTTAAACACTGCATTTTTAGTCAAAATCTCCCTGTTTTGTGTGTAAACCACGCGTTTAGCCAAGAACTGGTCCATTAACATCATCACAATGTTAAACAGCGCCACCTTCGGAGCTTAGATCTCTTGAGTAATTTTTCTTCGTCTCGTCAGCTTTCCAACAGTATAACCCTCATTGTGATTGGTTGAGGTTTAGGCTCGCGTGTGTTCATTTACAAAAGAATTGTTCATCTAAACTCCAATAACATTTGCCGTTGCTCATGGCTATAATTGATCCATTTTATCTTTAGTGGAGTCAGGGAACCACACTACATAATTTGCATTTTCTCAGCCACGCAATGTACTGTTTTTATGACTTTTTCAGTATACAAGAGAAAAAACTCTCAGCTTTTATCTCATATCCAAAACTTAAAAATTCATAGATCACGTTTTTGAAAAAAAAAGGACAAATGTTTCAGGGTTGCATTTGTTTGGGTCACCTGTATATAGTAAGCAATCATAGACACCGATATTTTGCCATGGGGAGACGAATATATCTTTAATTTCAAAAATGTATGTTTTGGTTTACATCTTGACCAGTTTTCTTTTTCTATGTATAGCCATCCATGCAACATTTTCTGGAAAGAAATGTAATCTACACCGTATAGATTACCTTTTTTTCCAGAAAATGTTCCAATTCTAGTCTAACCCCATCCTGTTATTCAACCACATCATATTAGGTTACACATCCTCATCTGTAGTTAGTCAGGTTTCGAGGAAGAGGCCAACATCGAAAGCGAAACGACAAACCATTTCCGAAAATATTTACGAGTGAATACCTAGGATCAATGCAGGCTTATAATTGACACGGTTCACATACATCTATATATTCCCTTTAGTGTCGTCACGTTACAAGTCGTTTGGTCTAGCTTATTCACCAGCGAGTGTTGCTGGCCGAGTATACATATCTGTGATAATTCACTTGATCACGCACTGACGACTAAGACGAGTCTGCAACGGACAGCTCCAGTTGAGATAGTCTTCGGTAGGTGTAGTCTTGGCCTCTAGATTTGGAGTTTATTACGGAACCCAGCCAGTCACTGACAAGCCCGGTGAAGAAGCCCGGTTAATTCGCATTTTCTCAGCCACGCAATGTACTGTTTTTATGACTTTTTCAGTATACAAGAGAAAAAACTCTCAGCTTTTATCTCATATCCAAAACTTAAAAATTCATAGATCACGAGAAAAAAAAAGGGACAAATGTTTCAGGGTTGCATTTGTTTGGGTCACCTGTGTATAGTAAGCAATCATAGACACCGATATTTTGCCATGGGGAGACGAATATATCTTTAATTTCAAAATGTATGTTTTGGTTTACATCTTGACCGGTTTTCTTTTTCTATGTATAGCCATCCATGCAACATTTTCTGGAAAGAAATGTAATCTACACCGTATAGATTACCTTTCTTTCCAGAAAATGTTCCAATTCTAGTCTAACCCCATCCTGTTATTCAACCACATCATATTATGCTACACATCCTTATCTGTAGTTAGTCAGGTTTCGAGGAAGAGGGCGGGAGCCAGGTGGGTCAACCTAGCTGGAAAGTTGATCAATTTTCATGTATGCAGCAATGTTCCGCATGCATACCAATGTAAGGAAATGGACGTCTGCCGGGCACACTGTGGTGGGTATGGTCAGGAGGGCCATGAGAAAGGGGCCACAAAATTGAGCTAGATCAGCTGGTGAGTTAACCCTATGAAACCTACTGGAAAATGTTGGGCCTAGTCTCAGGTATCATGAATGGCCACTGCAAGACATTTTCATTGGTGAAAGGTGCCCGCCAGACATGAAAAACCTGAATAGGAGGGGGCGTGGCCATAACCCCCTCCCATTCCTTTTCGCCGATAGAGTAGCAACGCATCGATATAGAAAAATGTAAAACCAGTTTCTATAAGTCCCCTGACTCTTGTAGAATACAAAAAGGTAACTTACGAGTAATTTAAGATCTGACTAATTAACTTAAGAGCGGTGCGAATAGCTTGGAGGGGCGGGGCTACCAACCCTCCAAGCATATTTTCGCTTATATCATCGCAACGCATTCTGTTAATTCTGTCAAATTTTCCTGGCATGTTTGCCGATGCCTTGTGGCTATTTTGTATCCATTTCTAACAAAATAAAGCACACTGTTCCATCAAATGTCATTGCCAAATGAAGTAGGTTATGTTCAATATGTACAGTACATAGGGTACAGATAATGAAAACTTACAAAACGGGTTTTTTCCCTGTCCATTTCCCTTGTTTTTGTATGCTTTGACAGACACTTTGACACTGGTTAATATATTCATACATGGAAGTACATGATATTGTCACTCTTCTGTGGGCGTGGCCTAAATATTTAAATCAGGGTGTGAATAATTGCATTCTGGATGAAACGAGGAAAATGTATGATTTTGCAGGCAAAACACAGAGTCAGCATTGTTAAATAATGATTATTGTGCATTGTTACTTTCATTTTTAATCATTTTATATAAGTCAACAAAATAAACTGGTCTTATGTTTTGAAATAGGCACGTATTTTCTGTGGTAAATAACTGTGATACTATACTCTGGGGCCTGTGTATGCCTACATGTACAGCGTTTATAATGTATATGAAAACGTTGATGAAGGGCAAAACCCCAAATTTGATTTACATCACTCCGATGCAAATTCCATCGTTTCAATAGTTTTGGTGCAGTGCCAGTAGGGGCCACGGAACCGGGGGGGGGGGGGGGGGGGAGACACTCGGATTTTTCCAGGTCATCAAAAGTGCCCCTCTCGTGGTTATAAATGTACCCCATCGATATGAACAACAAAACTGCCCCTCCAACGCACACGTATAAGCATAATCGCACTGTAGCAAATAAAGCAGTCACTGAGCTGGCCATCAAAAGCAACAATGCCCATCTCACGATACAAAAAAATTGGTCTCTCTACATACCTTTAGTCAAATTCATGGGGGGACCCACAGAGGTTACTGGCAGGGGCGGAGGACGTATAATGTGCCGTGTGCCGAAGGACCAAGGGCGGATCCAAGAGGATGAGGGGCAATGGGCCCATGCCTCCCCCACAATAACGAACCCAATTGTATTTGAAGTGATAATAGAATACAGTAACGAACCCAATTGTATTTTTAGTGATGTCACAAAAAGGCAGCCACTACGTACACCATCTTTTCCTAAAAACAAATTGGTTACAGTGTTCAGAAATTGCCTCAGATCTCACCACAGAGCATCTAGAATCCATTTTATTCCGGGGCCCTAAGCGGGCCCTGAACCCAACGTGCCGAAATTTTGTGGACCCACTTATTGGGGGACCACATTTTTCTGCAAAAAAAAAAGAGTTTCAGATCGGCCATTGCGGAGGCCGAAGAGCTTTCACTTTCACACCGACTGAAGGTGCCCCATTTTCTGAGCAGTTGCCCCTTTTTGGTGTTGCCCCCCCCCCCCCTTTGAAAAGCATTCCGCCGTCCCTGCCTGCTGGTACCGTACATCAGATTCCAACTAGACAAACTTGTTTGTTTCTGCATTCAATAGGGAACGTTGAACATTATTGGGTTCAACAAATACAAAACAAATGGGATGTCTTCCTAAAAGTAAAAGTAATAACAGAAGAGGGACAATTTCGACGATTGCACGTAAATACACACTTTGGGCGGGACGTCACCACGTTATGGGGAAGTTTCTTTTAAAATTTTTATGCACATTTTAGGAATGAGATATGTCGACTTCCTGCTGTCCTTCCAGTTTTCTGTCCCTACAAATACATCCTAGCAACAAGTGTTTGTCCCCATCACTACAGAACAAGAAAGGTGCATTTGAACGCACCCGGGAGCAAAGGGAGAAAGTAGGGGCAATAGTACCCAACAAGTCAGTAGAAATTCGACCTGACGAGGAAAACGCTACATGTATTTAGTTAAATATTTCGGAACCGAAGCGAACAGAAAGGAAGAAGGGACGTATTAAAGTGGCAGGTGTATTACATTCGTGGAGTACACAGCGTTTAAAAATACAATATTATTAAAACTCAAAATGGCATTTACAAGAATAATGTATGGGGACAGCACACAAAAGAGGGATTATTGGAGTTGAGGAGAGATCCACAGGTGAACATAATACGGAGAAGAAATGACCGGCAACGAACAAAAGAGATTTGTTTGGGCGAGGATAAACGGAATGGTGTGGGGGTTGAGAGAGATATCAGGCTGGGGGACAAAGAGAGTGGCAAGAAGTGGGATCATAGGAGACTTAAAAATTGGGTATTTTTTTCCTCCTGTGCCCCCTCCTTCCCAACCCCCTCCCCTCCATTCTCACCCAAGCATAATACCCTATGTATCTCCCCCTCCTTACTCTTTATCTCTCTCATATGTTTCTCCATCCATCCCTACATGCCCGTGTGTCCCCCATGGCACGTGTTTCTTTATATACATGTACATACCGGTACAAGTACCACTGTCATTTGTCAGCAAAATTACAAATTGACCTCGTTTGAGTCAGAGTGCTCTTAATCACACCCTGATTTACATATTTAGGCCACGCCCACAAAAGGGTAAAATAACAAGTGTTATAACGTAAGAATGTTTTACCTTGTGCCCAAATGTATTTTAAAGCATAACTGAACAGGGGAAAATGTGCAAAAAAAACCTGTTCTTGTAAGTTTTAAAGTGTTTACTATCCGTACCCTTTTCTATAAGCTCCGACTCCAGCACGTGTAATCTAATGTACATGTACTGCTAACCTGGTCAATAGCCTATTTGTTTTGGGAAATAGACATTTGATGAGAACATTGTGTTTTTTTTTTTTTAGAAATGGGTACAAAATAGCCAAAATGCATCGGCAAACATGCCAGGAAAACTGGACAGGATTAATAGAATGCGTTGCGATGATATAAACGAAAATATGCTTGGAAAGGGGGGTGGCCCCGCCCCTCCATGCTATTGGCATCGCTCTTAAGTTAATTAGTCTGATCTTAAATTACTCGTAAGTTAGCTTTTTATTTTCTTCAAGCATTAAAGCACTTATAAAAACGGGTTTTACAATTTTCCATATCGTGGCGTTGCAACTGTATCAGCGAAAAGGAATGGGAGGGGGTTATGGCCACGCCCCCTCCTATTCAGGTTTTTCATGTCTGGCGGGAACCTTCCACCACTGAAAATGTCTGGCAGTGGCCATTCATGATACCTGAGACTAGGCCCAACATTTTCCAGTAGGTTTCATAGGGTTAACTCACCAGCTGATCTAGCTCAATTTTGTGGCCCCTTTCTCATGGCCCTCCTGACCATACCCACCACAGTGTGCCCGGCAGACGTCCATTTCCTTACATTGGTATGCATGTGGATCATAATCCCGGGACATACCGTTATTTCGTTTTACCGTTTTGCATTTCCTCAAAACAAAAACAGTAAACAAACCATTGACCGTTTTGTCGTTGTACAGTTTTGTAAAACGGTCAAACGGTATCAAGATAAATACAGTTTCTCTGTTTTATAAGTTTAATAAAATTCATTACAGCATAACGATCAATGATTTTTGTTTTACAGTTTTACACAAATACTTTTGAAAAACAGCAAAACGGTCAGTATTGAATACAGACTGTTTTTTTTATTTCAGTGTCATAGTGAACAGTCCGTGGTGCATTTTTTGGTGCTGGGCAAGGGGGATGGCGGGGGACCATGCTTTACATGAAAAAGTGTTACCTCGGCATAATGCGTGGTGTGATGATTCCTGGCGTGACCCTGACCCCCTTCTCACGCGATTCAGTTGGTGGGGCTTAAGAGTTGCAAGCAAAAATGGCGCTGGAAAACTTCAAGGGAGGACATTACTTTTTACAATGGATACAGGATGGTAATACGTTTGAAGAAGTTGCAGATATTTGAAGGAAATTGGAGTTCGGCGCGGCTCTTCAATAGCCAGTTCGAAAACTATGTCGTGAGAACGAAATGTGAGGAGGGTAATTTGGGTCCCAGGCAATGACTCGATCCCATGAGGACGCATTAACATTCCTAGGTGCGTTGCTTAATTGCCGAACCTAAATCAAAAAATGGTCGACAGGACTATTGACCGTTTTTCTCTGTCATGTTCTTTTAAAACAACACTCTGAAACGAAGCAACTAACCGTTTATCGCTTTCAACAATTAAGAAAAACAACAAAAAGGTCATTGTTTTTGTGACCTAATACCGTTTGACCGTTTTACAAAACTGTAAAACGAAAAAAGGGTCAACGGTGCGTTTACTGTTTTTGTTTTTGAGGAAATTCCAAAACGGTAAAACGAAATAACGGTATGTCCCGGGATTGATCATTGCTGCATACATGAAAATTGGTTAACTTTCCAGCTAGGCTGACCCCCCCCCCCCGGCTCCCGTCTAAACATCGAAAGCGAAACGACAAACCATTTCCGGGAATATTTCCGAGTGAATACCTACGATCAATGCAGGCTTATAATTGACACCGTTCGCATACATCTATATATTCCCTTTAGTGTCGTCACGTTACAAGTCGTTTGGTCTAGCTTATTTACCAGCGAGTGTTGCTGGCCGAGTATATATATCTGTGATAATTCACTTGATCACGCACTGACGACAAAGACGAGTCTGCAACGGACAGCTCCAGTTGAGATAGTCTTCGGTAGGTGTAGTCTTGGCCTCTAGATTTGGAGTTTATTACGGAACCCAGCCAGTCACTGACAAGCCCGGTGAAGCTGCCATGGCGTGCGGCAGAGGACGCTGTCAACAGTTGTGTTGTCTTAAGAACTTTGGCAGCGCTACCCAGGAGATTTCAGGCATATACTCCGCGTGCATGCATTACCTTGTATTGGGGAATAAAATACAGCATCCAGCCTCGGGCAAAGACTACGATATAGGTCTCGATCAGTTAAGTTTACATGTAAAATTAAAAACTCAATGGTTCTTGATGAACACTGTTTTTTTTCTCTGTGTGGTTGAAATAATTATATAGTTAACCACTATTTTGTATACGATTCTGAGCGAACTTTACAGTTGCGATAACTTGGCTCATGTGGACATCTGAATGTCTGCAAGCGTGTACACTTCACGCTTGCATGCGGTTTCCATTGTGTCAGTTCAAGTCAGCAGTGCTGCAACTCCAAGATGCACGGCAACTTACAGCGCCCCTACGATTCAACAATGATATTAACAAGATGCAAGGTCAAACGTTCACAATGCGAAGGTACATGGTTCATATTGCGAAGAAGCAAGGTGCAACGTTGACATCAAGCATGATCAATGGTGTACATTGACAAGATCGAACGTGATCATTAACAAGTTGGAACATTCACATTAAGAAGGAACAACTTCCACAATGCGATATTAAGCTACGTGCAACGTGCATATTGCGAACTTACAACGTCAATATTAAGAAGTTACAAGGTTCATATTAAAAAGGTCAATATTAAAATGTCGTTCCAGGGCCACCGTAGTTTATAGTACACGTGCTAGGCAGCGCTAGTGTATATACACCACACACACAGCCCGGGATCTCTCTTTCGCTCGTACCCCCCGCCCTGCAAACAGGACGCTGGGATACTCTGATGAGCTTCACAGAATCTTGTGAAGGAAGTGGCCTATGACCTATGTATAAAGCATCTGGCTGCAGCTGTTCAAGACCGCAGTTAGACAATGTGTGCAAATGCTATCCGAAAACTTCCCATATAATTGCGCACATTCCATACCGGATGTGATTCTGTTTCATTGCGGACCATGTGGACAACATTTTGAGCGTCGCATAATGCAATCCGACCGTTCGTGATTCGAAACGGAGCCTGAGCGAGTGACGGGAATTGTAAATTTACAACACAGATACGTTTTACAGAATTTCTTACATTATTACGCTTTTCAACGAGAAAAACATCTCTAAACTGGAAAAAGAGTAATGAATCAGTCTTAACGGCCGTTTCAAACCTTGCAGAGTCATGACCTTGATGACGCGCAGGTCACTGGTCACGCATAATCCAACCAATCAGAGCGTGAATTCATCAGAGTATCCCAGCATCCTGTTTGCAGGGCGGGGGGTACGAGCGAATTATCTCTCTGTGTCCAAGGTCATCTGGCTGTGCGCTTTGGCCGGTTTACATGGGGTCCTTTTGACCGCAAAGGATTTGATATAAAAAAGGTGCAAGATTTTTGAACACGTATGCAAATGAGGAATAGTCTGGTGCCTGCCTGTGCGTTTCATTAACGTTTGTTTTTGTATGCGGTGTCTGGGGTAAAAACAATCAATTCCCGCGCCGTGAGTTACGAAAACACGATTGTTTTCGAAGTTGAAATGTTACAATCGTATTCCGCCAATATGCAGTATCACATTTCATATTAATATGAGCAAATTGGAAAGGAAACAAGTATTTTTGAGAAGGCGTGGAACGGTAATATATAAAATACAATGATCGTGAAAACACGTACTGCACGTTGTAAATAACAACGCAAAGTACACAATATGAATCCATTACTAGCCAATTGCGGTATCGAATCAGGATACAGATAGACAGTTTCCTATCCAGGGCTTACTATTCAAAACGAGGTTGGAAATAAAGTAAGCACTGGGGACGAGGTTGAATTAACCGTGATTAATGTCGCGTTCACACGTGTATGACGTGCGCGGCTGTATAGTCTGCAGTGTGGCATTGGTTTGGAAAGAAGTCCAAAGAAGCCCTCGATAGAAAAGAAGTCCCGCCTTTCTTTGTACTGGTACGGATCCAGGGGGTGGGGGTAAAACCCCCCAGCTCCCTTGGTACTGCACACCATAATGGATAGGTACCTTTTTAATATTTGTGAGGCTTGAAAAGATTGACAGATATTGCAAACGCCAGTGTTACAACTTTCAAAAATGCACGTAGCCAGGCCTATTTTTTCCCCAGTTTCAACGAAAAGTAATGAACATATCACAACGATTTTCAGCACATACTTGGATCATTATGAGGGAAATAAACCCTGAAAGTTGCATGAAGATACGGTCTTCCAAACAGGAGAAATTCCTTTTCAAAGATTTCGCCCATGTAGGCCTATGTGTGCATGTAGTTTCATTCAAAATAAAGTGTTATTTAACCTTTAGAAATCGCCCTTCGCAACTACACGGCTGCTAGAGCGATGGTACACCTATATACTCACCACTTCCAACATGTTGGCAGCTGGGGGATTTTCTGCAAAGGATCGTATCAAATTATGAGTCGAAACCATCACTTTTTTCTCATCTTCGGTAAAGTGTTCCGCGTTAATAACTGAGATGACTAAACAAAAGATGGTTAAACCCAAGCATGCCATTGTGAAGGCGCGATGAGGTTAAACTTGATGGGGGAAAAAGAAACAATTTTAGTTCTGCATAAATACATGTACCACTGGCGCCTCCGTGAGGTCAGACTGACATGGCTCCCGTAAAGCCAACTGCAGTACGACCCTTGTATAACAGGGCAGTTATCGAGGCCACTGGCAGCGCAATGAACCGTGTTGGAATAAAACCCCGACACGCTCACTGACTCTGGAGAATACCAAAAGTTACTGGATATTTGCCGTTCTTTTCAACGCGGTCATCCCGTTTCTCCTTGCATTTTAATGGATTTTTTCCCTTGTACTACTGAATTGGACTTATTCAAATGCAAAACTACAGTAAGCTTCACTTGACCACAGGGTTTTGTGGACTGTATACTAAGCCAAATGTAGCTTATAATGCGAAGATGTATTCGGAAATAGAGTGTTCATGAGTAAAATGGTGTAGGTTTAAAGGGGCCATCCAATGCATTTTTCAATGTAATCATTGGAAAATGCACCTTTGTGTTCCATATAACCTGATTTTTCAATTTTCGTTTTGCCATTTTCAATGGTATTTTGGAGCCTTTTTTGGTTTGTCATGTCAGGCAGTAACCTCAATGTTACAGCTATTTCAGCTATTTCAGTTGCCAGCATTTTGGATATTTTGCTGTCGTGAATTTTTTTTTCTCTGGTGATTCGTTGTTGTGTCAGGACATGGCAGTCAGCCATTGAGCAAACTTTTCTGACAAATGTTTCCAATGAGCAAATTTTTGGGTTCACAATTTGAACAGAAAATCCATAAATTGAACAGTGTCTTCCTGAAATGACATCACAGCAACAGCGCCCTCAGTTGTCCGGAAAAACATGGGAATTTTCTTAATAATTGAATGAAGTGCTCTTTTCAGTAAATCTAACCAAAAAAGGATGTCGATTAGTTTTCATACATAAGAGGAGTAGGAAGTTGCATAAAATGTGTTCCTCAGAGAAAATTCATTTCATGCAGCCTTTAAATATCTCGATAGATGGGCTTGACCAACTCCTCTCACGATGTGTTCCGGGGAAGGAGAACTAGGGTCACCCCCTTTTGTCCTCCCTATAACCCAGCAGCTTATCCAGCATTTGATGTGGGGGGGGGGGGGCAACCGCACATCCGCGCAGAAATGTAGACATTTTTTTTTCTCCGGACACTTGAACTCCGTAAAATCAAAAAAGGTGGGAGCCGGGGGTGGCGGGGGCGGGGGCGCTGGTATTTATCTTCCAAATGGGGGGGGGGGGGGGGGGGGGGGGGGCGCTCTTCAAAACTGAGCCTTCATTTGCGTGTACATAGTACAAATCCCCTGGTGCACGTGCGTCTCACACAAGGAACGGTACACGTCAACCAGCGAAATGTCCCGCCCATGGGACGTCGTTGCTAGGTAACAGGGCGCCCTCTTTCGGTGGCGCACGGAGCCCATAACCGCTCAGAAATTAAAGAAGACAAAAAAGCTGGTGCACATTTCACAACAATGACAATTACCCTATTCCAGATGAATACTTTCTTTATTTGGGGATTTAACTTCTCTGGCTCTGCACCCTCCCCAAAGGACAAAAATGATCAATCCTTTCATTTCCAATTAGATCGAATAAACCTTTTTTTTTTCTTCAAATAGTTAGACGATTAAATGCACAAGTCCAGTATATAGTTTGATGCTAAATCATATGTGATTGCATACGAAGAAGCGTCTTACCGACTGTTTGAATTTGAATCCGTTTGATAATTTGAGTCTAGTCAGTGTTGTACACATGTATGTATTAGCTTATTTTAAATATGGCGGACACAATAGTCTGCCATATCTGAAATAGGTTAATGGCAGGGCCTGGAGAATGGACTCGTTTTGGGCGTCTCGACTCTCGAGTAATATGTATTTTAGTTGTCATTACCCCTGTACATAAAGCCTGAACATGTCCCTTCAAGGCCGATACATCGTTTTCAAAATGGTTGAAAGTCAGAAAATAATCTCTCTTAGGCGTCCATTTACATTTTTCCATTTAGATTAATTAAATATTCGGGGAAAACGCCCCTTCAAGACTGACTCATCGTTTTCTACATGTGAAGGGTCAGAAAATGATCTCTGTTTGGCTTCCATTTATTTAGCCTGTAACAGTATATCCTGCTTCAGTTGAAAACAAAAGTGTTATGTTTACCACACTTCCTGATACGGGCCAGCACAGTGTCAATTCAAAGGAAATGAGGATTGCATGTCTAAAAATCTTTGTTTTCCCCCGCATATTTCCTTCCAAATGTAATGAAATATACTTGTTTATCGCCCTTATCAGTACAGGTTAATGGCCTCGCCAAACGGATTTTCTGTGTATATATCCGCCGCTAGTAGTGTATTTAAACCCAACGCATGTGACACCCATTACTAGACGAGAGACTGCGGTCACCATACTCGGTCAGGCCGGGCCTGCTGAGCTAGGACACATTGCATTGTTTTTCTCTCACCGCAAGTTGTATGTCAGAACGTACTAGGCCTATATATATAGAGTCTCCTTGGTCAGAAAATCAGGACTTGATCAGTTTCCATCGCAGACTGGCAGCATATTAACCTGACACCACTGGTTCTAAATCTATATCTGTGGGTCCGCAGTATACCAGGTAAGGACACATTTTCAAGTAGAAGTTGTCTTTGACGGTTTCATGAATTTTCAAGCCTCTGATGATGAATGCTTTTATAGTTTAGTTCGGCATTCGGTTCGAAGTTCCATCAGTGTCCCATAATTGATATATAACCACACCTGGTCCATAGTGCGCCGTAAATCAGATTTGGTTGAATTTTCGTAAAATTACAAATCCATTTTGGTTTTAACCAGACAGCACTTAAGATATCGTTAGATGCCCATCATCATCAACACGGTAACTTAATTAATACCCCGCCCCTCGATCTATCCACCTCGTACGTGACTACTACGGGGTTGCGGGTGATTGCTCTCAATTATAAATTGCCTATACGCCGGCCAAATCACGATTTCCATGCCCTCAAATTATCCGGTATAAGAGCATTTTGTTTTGTTGGCCATGGATTTGACGGTATGTACCAAACGAAGGGTGGAAGCCGTAAAGAGGACTGCGAGCTCTAATAAAGTTAGGACCTCAATTTTTTTTATTTTGCAATGGAGCGTAGGTATCCGTTTTCTTCCTTCAAAATGGCAATGGGCTTCAGGACTACTTATAGGGGTTATTCTCTTTAGATGGAATTTTTTTCTCCCAAAACTCATTGGTTAACCCCCCGAAAACGAACAGAAAATCAAATATGATGACATTAGGTTTAATTTGATGTGTGTGTGTGTCCAACACGTATGTTCACGGCCATTGTGCTTTCGGTCCATAGTACAATGCGAGGCTTCGGTCGGTATCGATACCCATATCGTCACCGTTTTCACGAAGGGGCGAATTTCATGAAAATCGTTTGTTTTTCGAATTTGTTTTTTGTTTTGTGGTGAAAATGAATAATCTATGAATATCTACAACCTGGTGAGGCCATACTTTCGAATTATTAATTAAAACCTTAATTAACCTAATCAACGAATAGGCGAATTTGTCACAAGTGCCGTTTTGCGTTTTCACGAAGGGGCGAATTTCCGCACTCTATGGTATTATAGGTTTTCACGGCCACTTTTAACAAGTTTTCATTCAATTTAACGCCTGGCTCATTAGATTCAAATTGAAATTGAACGATCACGCATATCGGCATTCGTCAATCAAAAAGAATCATTCAATTTCACTATCCGAGCATTCTATCGCCTTTTAGCTTCACTCGTCCCTATCAAAGATGTATTCACATTAAAAGTACCGCGTTGTTCATTCAATTTCGTCTAACCCAGCAGTAAAGGGTTGATCGGGCATTCGTTTTCATTAATGGGCAAACATATTTCACATTTTGTCAAACATATTTTAAGAGCATTTCGTGTAAATACTTCATTTAAGTGTCCACGCTCAAAAAATCGATAACTTGGCATTGTCGGTACAATCATTGTCACATGGGCAAATCTCATGTGTTTGCAAGCCGCAATGAATAATAATCGTATCCATTGTCCTCTGATTGAAGTGCACCATTATTCAAATGATGTCCAGTCCTCCCCTCCCAGCTAGGCCTCGCCCCTTCCCTTGCCACCAAATTCAGATTTTGATTTCTGCATGTATTTGCCTAAATTAAATTGTAAATACTAGATATTAATTTGCAAGTGAACCTTTTACAATCTACACCAACAGCCGTCTCACAGCTAGCCCCTTCCTCTGCTACCCCCTCTCCCAAAGCTCAAAAGAGAACCACGCCCTCCCCCAACAAGTCAACAAGTACAATTTTGTTCAGATTACATACATGCGTATGGCCTTGGGGAAAGTCTGAATATGTAAGGTGTTTTTTTTTACAACACGGGGCAGCTTGGAATATCCGAAAAGCGAGGAGGAGAAGGGGTGTGCATGTCGCGGGGTGGGTGGGTGGGGGGGGGGTGGGAAGGGTGATCTGGACACACGCATGTACGCTGTACACATTTGTTTATATTGCAAGTTACTTTGCAATTACAGTAAAAGATGTAAACAAAATGACGTTTATTTTATTATTTTCAAAACGGAAAAGATCTGGCGATTTAGAGAGCAACTAACTCTTATTTGTTTATATTGAAATACATGAACTTTAAAACAACGATCACTCCAGTGACAGCTCCGAGAGAACACAGCATCAATTTGACTGCATGAATTTTGGACTTGACTTGGCTATATACATGTAGTTAGGGTCTGAAGTATTTTTTTAGTGGAAGTGTCCTCCAAATTTGTAGTTGCCTGATCAACATGAAATTTTGTGACTTAACAGTGGTCACCGTGGCACCAAACTCACTTCTGTAGTGTGTTCATTATCACCATGGCAACTGTTGTAAAAACATCGGTGCTCATAAACTAAAGTCAAAAATACTTCCATTTTCAAAACCTATCACGAAAGTACTATCTTAAGACTGAAATTCATGGCTATATTATTAACAACAATACATGCTCAGTATGTAACGTGGCCGCCATTGGTGCGAGAAGCGCATGTAATTTTTACCTTTCAATCTGTACCATTTTCTTTGTTATGATGTACGTTTCTGATAGTTATTACATGAATCAATTGCAGAGCATTAAATAAC